CCCCTATGTGTGGAGAGGGAGGGCTAGGGAATTACACACCTGTAGCCGCAGGTTTCAATGAAGTTATCTCCTCCGCCGCAGTCTGGTGACGTCAGTTCTCTGCCATGGTGGTATCTCTTGCAAATGGCGACAGTTTGTTTCCCTTTGCCGGGTGACCAATGCAACGGGTGGGTCCTTACTGTCTCTCTCAAGCCCCGTTTCAAACCTGTGGCCACTACCTATGAAGGCTCCGTTGGCATTTACCGTCGTAGGATCAGAAGGGCTGACCAGTTGTTTCAGCCGGATGGATTGGTGCTGAGTCACAGCTGTTTGTCTGCAGGAAGCAGGCGAACGGGAGCTTGAATTCAGCCGATCTGGGCTCAGTGTGTGTTCTGAGAGGCCCAGACTGCTCGCCCCAGATCCACGTCAGCTCAGCATTGCCTAGTGATCCTGAGCAAACAGCAATTTAGACAGTTTACGACTCCCTATGCCCTCGCAGCTGAAGAGGTCAGAGACTTGATCTCTCCGTGCCCGCCGCCATGTTGGAATCTAGAAGTACTGCCAATATTTAACCTGAGAATAATGTGTACTTGTAACTATTGGCATATTTGGTTTTATTTTTATCATCTTATTTTGTTTTCTATATTAAAAATACTTTATATTTTTCTTTGAATTTTGCTAGTTAATTGATTTGTTTTTACTGTTGATGTTTTTACTGATGTGAAAGTTATAGACCTATAAGCATTTGTATCTAAATGTTTAGAAAACATAATAGTAGTTTTGCTTCTCCATTAACATCTTGAACTTGTACTTCAGAAAAACAAAAAAATGCAATCTAATTTCACTTCTGTCTTCTTCCAAGCTTAATCCCTAAACTGATGAGAAAACCTGCAAATCCATACTACAGTTGATTTGTTTCTATTTCTTTTGTTATTGAGAATTTTGTTGTCTTTGCTTTTAAGATAATTTATTTGCATTTCTACCTGCTATATTTCCTTACTACATTTTTATTATTTATGTTTTGAGTTTGATTTTGTTTACCACTTTTATGAAGCATCTTTCTTATTCCTACATCTTTATTTTGCTTCATTGCTGTTGACTTGAACATTGCTTTGAACAATTGTTTTTAAGAAAGGTACATGGCTGTCCTGCTTTGAGTTGCTGCATGTTGAAGTATCTGTCCGTTCCTCAGATATGAGCAGTACTTTTCCCAGATATAGGCTTATTGACTCATGGTCCTTACCCTGCAATCTGCACTAACTGTTTGAAGCTACATTTACATAACACAATCTTTTTAACAACAACTACAAAGCTAAATTATATATCTATTTAGAATAGTTTTGGGGGATACTGAAAGAGATTGGAGGAACTAAAGTGACCCCAACTCATCCCCTTGTGTGTTCATGATCCTGTGAGTTATGGTTCCATATGGTCAATTTTGTCAGGCAAGTTCAGATTTATTATAGCATTTCATTGCTACAAGAAATGCAATAGACTGTGTGGGATCAAAAGAGGCTTGTAGTAAGAGAATGGTAGCCTTGGGGGAGAATTTATCTTTTAGCCATGTGGTTCCCCATCCACGTCATCCTTAGCTCTCCAAACCAGAGTGGAGGTGGTAGATACAGTTGAACCTTGGAAGATTATAACAATTATCCCTATATTTCAAGTTAATCTAACAGCATTCATCCATGGATGATGGGCCATGCCTCAGTTCTACTCAGAATTTATTCTCTCCATTCTCCTGTCTTGGGCACAGGATATGAATGCTGTCTTGGGACTTACTCTACTTGGGGTGGAATTTGGATCCTATGTTAAAAGCTTTAGCAGGGCAAGAAATTGTTCCTGATGGCTACTTTGTCTCTAGCTGTAGGGTAAAATGTGGCATTAGTGGAAGCACCATCAAACAGGCTCTCCTTCCTTTGATTAATAGAAAGAACCTCATCTTTGGGGTGTATTTTTTTTTGAAATATGTTTTACTAAGATACCTCCAAAGTGCATTTGCAACCCCAAGTAAACCTCCCATTAATGTTTATCCTCTATATTCACTTCTTGAAACTAGACATAATGAGTGTCTAGTTTCAAGAAGTGAATATAGAGGATAGGAGAATCTGTGTCCATCCCTGAAATCCTTGTTGCATTGCTATGGAAATGGAGGTCTGGACAAGGTTTGATGACTTGCCCAATATCCTGCAGTTTGTTAACCAAAGGGCTAGGGCTGGAATATAGTTCTCTTTTATCATTCTCTTCCATCTTCATGTGATATTTCTTTAGTTGATGACCCCAAATCTAATATTACCATAAATTTTCAATGATAATATTAATTAATTACTATTAATTTTACCATAATGTTGGGTTGGAACTTCATGTGCAAGGGAAATGCTATCAAATATCCAAAGTTCACCATTTTATTCATGTATATTCGAAATAGGAAGGTAAAAATCTCATGAAGTATAAATGTAAAAATTTTAGTTATTAGTAAAAAGCAATTTGTTATACAACTTCTGAATTTTTTTTTCTGTTAAATTCAAGGCCTTATAAAGGCCTTGGGTTTTTGTTAAGTTCATAATATATGTTAGAGGAAATTTTATTAATTTGTTTTTATTAATTTTTATAGAGACAAGATTAAGCATATTGTGGATTTAATTGTATCATCCTTTCCATTCAGGTATGTGAGACTTTAGAAAAGGAAATGATTATGACATTTAATATCAACATTTTTAATAGGAAGCAAAACAGAACAAAATAAAAAGCATGTTTCCCAGGCACACATGCCTGTAATCCCAGTGGCTCGGAAGGCCAACACTAGAAAATCAAAAGTCCAAGTTCAGCTTCAGCAACTTAGCAAGGGCCTAAGAAATTTAGTAAGACCCTGTCTCAAAATAAAAAATAAAAAGGACTGGAAATGTAGCTTGGTGGTAAATTGCCCCTGGGTTAAATACCTAGTATTAAAAAAAAAAGCATTTCTACTCTCAAAATGTTGCTAAATAGCCTGTATACCCACATTTTGAATATAATCTAATTTTTTTTGGAATTTTGGTTTCAGTTGGACATTAATATTTCCAAATAAAAGGGGGAGGGAAAAGGACGAATTATGAACTGAAATCAATTTCTATGTGTGAATGAGCATATAGTGATGAACCCAACTACTATGTATAAATAAAGCTTTTAAAAAATGTTTTTTCCCAAAACAATGACATTTGCCTAAGTCTAACTAGTGGCAGATTCATTTTTTTCCTACTAATAAAAGTAAAAATAATGAAGCATGCATTTTAAAATTCTGTAATTATAGGTAAAGTATTTTATTAAATACCTTATGCATCCAGAATTACTTCTTAATTCTGGAAATATTTTACTTAAGTTTCTTCTCTATGTAAGAAGAAGATTTACTACTATGATTCAAATATACACCAATGTGATTGCTTCCTTTTAAATTAATAATAGTTTCATGCAAAAAATATAGTCAAATATCAGGGAATGTTTTTAAAATATATAAGAGAAAAGCACTTAAGAGTTCATTTGTGGAAATATTTATGGATTTGAATTCCTTATCATGTGCCCATCACTGTTCTAGGAGTGCCCATGAATGTGTAATAATGTATTTGTTGAAAATTTCACTGATTAAAAAAATCTTACTGGTCAAAATGGTCTTATAGAATTAAGTCATCATTACTATAGCAATATATGCATTCCCATGTTTATAGCAGCACAATGCATAATAGCCAAAATACACAACCAGACTAGGTGTCCATCAGCCAAGGTACAGAAAAAGCAAATGTGGTATATATACACAATGGAGTTTTTTCTAATATTTATTTTTTAGCTTTAGGTGAATACAATATTTTATTTTTATGTGGGGTGCTGAGGATCAAACCCAGTACCTTGCACAAGCTTAGGCGAGCATTGAGCCACAACCCCCCGGCCCCACAATGGAGTTTTATTCAGTCATAAATAAGAATGAAATTATGTTATTTGCAGGAAAATGGATGGAATTTGAAAACACTCATTTAAGCAAAATAAGCCAAACTCAGGCTTAGAGTCGCATGTTTTCTCTCTTATGTGGAAACTAGAGAAGGAAAAGGAAAAGAAAGTGTGGTAGGGGAGGGAGTGGGAGGTGGTCTCATGAAAATGGAGAGGAGACCAGGAGAGGAAAGGGACACAGTGAGGGCAGAGGGTTGGGAAAGGGGAAATGCTGGGGAATAATATTGATCGAATTATATTATCATATCACATGCATGGGTGAATATGTAAAAATGAATCCCATTATTTATAATTATAATGCACTAATAAAAAAAGGTGGGGAAAAGAAAATAGTCTTACATTAGTCTTGCCTTCACTTGGGTTTTATTACTAAATTCTTTAAAATTTTTTCAGATTAATGTTTTATTTATGATGAGAAATGATTGAAATTTTCAAAATTTAAGAAAAGTTTACACACACAGTTCCAGTTCTATCTTGGGTTAGTCTGATGTATCTGTTGTAGGAGAATATGATAACATACATTACAGTGATTTGATGGGAATTTTATTCACAAACAACTGTTCTTATTGGGTAAATATGAGTGATTTCTTTTTAAGATTCTAAGGCAATACAGTTCTTTCTCCCAATGAACAGTTTAATCCTACTTATTGACATTTTGGTATCTAATCATTAGCTTTAATGTTATCTATTTATGGAGGCAAATCCCCATTATCTTTATTATCTTTATTTGTTTTAGAATATTTGGAATTTTGCTGATCTTTGTGGATGTGTTTCTTGTTGTTAATGACATAATTTTGACTGAGCGCCATATATATGTTTCTTTGGCATGTCGTATAAGTTCTTTATCTATTGCTTTATTTTTCGTCATGGATATTCTTCTTCAAATATATGTAGTAGGGTAAGTTTGATTTTTTTTAACTTAAAGCTATTTTGTACTGTTATAAGAAGCATCCGAAAATAATTATCAGGTTAACCCAACTGAATGTGCTTCTCTTTATCAAAATAATTCTCCTAGAAGGCATAGTTCACAGAGAAACAACAATCCAAACCTAGTTTATCATAGATGGGGCTTTAATAATGTTATTATTGCAATTGTCACTACAGTCTCCAACAATATATTCTAGATAGTCCCTTCAAAAGATAAAATTTAAAGGAATTTTTAAAAGGGACCAGGCACATGTACATGATGTACATGATATGTCTGCATGTACATTAAGAAGAGGAATGTGCGTGTAAAGTATAAATATTAATACTTTCATTAAGAATTGAATTCCAAACAAGAGTTTATAGTATGTTAAATACAAAATAATAGATCATGAATAATCCCTGCATCAGCTAAAATGACAACTTTTGTTAAGGTGTAGAGGAGATCTGAGGCATACTCATCTCATTGGCAGGACAACACAGCAGTTGTTGTTTTTCTTTTTTTTTTTTTCTTCTGTTTTTCTGAGAAGGTAGGGGTAAGCCAAGGTTTGGGGCTGGACTGTCGTGGAAGTCATGAAGAAAGTTCCCCAGACTCACTTTTTCCAGAGCAACTCTGGCAGTTTGTCTCCTTTCCTGATGATTTTTTTTAATCCTCATGCCTTTGATCTAAAGACATTTGCTCAGTGCCAGGTTACTCAGAACCTGAAAGAGGGTGCCTCAAAATCAGAAGCTTTCCCTGGAGGACCAATGCTGAGATTTAAAGGAGCCAGTGTTGAAGAAGAAAATGTAGTAGTTGTAAGTCAACCTGAGGCCATGTAAGCCCTTTGGGATTCATGGCCAGACAATGAATTCAAAATAGTGAAAGTTTCTTCTTCTCACAAGCTCCTCTCATATACTCCTCACTGTCCCAAATCCTCTGAGGCTGTGAGATATTCAGTTTCCACCGTCCAACTGCCCAGCATCCCATCTGCCTAGGAGAAAACAAAGCTTGCCTCTTGTTTAATAGTTTGGTTATATCTCTTATTTACTAAGCTTAAGTTGCCATATTGTTGCTTTTTCTCATATGTGTGTGTGTGTGTGTGTGTGTGTGTGTGTGTGTCTAAACTGCTTGAAAACTTTCTATTAATGTTATATTTTCCCTTGTTCTAGTATAGACAATGCATTTAAAATAAACCATTGAAGTAGAATTCATACTGAAGATAAGTCAAAAACTTGTGCTCTTAAAATATTCCTATCCCTTCTTGGGGAGAATAAACATTTTATTTTATATTGCAGGAAACAACATTATTTTTCTGATGTATTTAATGTCTTCGATTCTATCATTATTGGGGTGACTTTGGCATTTGACCTCTTGTACATGCTTTTTGACTTTCACAGCAATGTCTCCAGGTATGAAACATGTGACTTACCTCTAGAAGTTTTTCATTTCTTTCATTCTTTTATTTTTTTACATTTCAATGGCTTTAATTTTGTATCATCTTTTTAACTTTGAGTGTTCTGCTTTTGTGCCAAATAAGCTGCTTGAGAATGAAATGTTAAGATAGATTCCCACATACTTTGAAACTATAAAAGATGGTGGCATTTAGAGGCCAGTGAAAGGTATATACACTAAATACTTTTTGGTGAAAAAAGAAGATGGAACACTCAAAGAGAATGGGGACTTGGCCTCTTGTGTTTACTTTAACTTCACTACATTTTAAAATCCCCTCTAAATTCCATTTGTGCTTCAGCCATAAATTCCTTACACATGAAATTCTATATATCTACCTGAATTTTTCCTACAACATAGAGTATATTGATTTAAGCATATGAAAATTTGAGTGACTCTAATCATATTCTCCAAAACATAGCACATTGAACAGGAAAACAGGAGGTGACACAGATACAACACAGAGGAAGAGTTTTGAAGTATACTTGTAGTAGAAATGAAGAAAGCTGAGGCAAAGTTAGAACCATGAGAGATTAGGAAAGTAAATGTGTGTGAATAATAGTTCTTTCTCTCCCTCCCTTCCTCTCTTCCTCCTCCTTCTCCTTCCTCTTCCCACCCCCTATCCCTCTCTTTCACTGTGGCAATGAAGAAGAGTAAATGTCTATAAGGATGTAGACATTGAAGGGCTTTCTTGGCTTATTCATTAATCAAATAGCTACCACCTTTTGGTAACCTAGCTTCTCATGGCTTCAATTCAGAACCCAACTAAATGTGTTATATAATAGACTTTGGAGTTTGAAAATAATCAGAGTCAATATGGTCCTCCAATTGCAACCTCAGCATCATGTGAGAGCTTGCTAGAAATGCAAGAAAACACCTCATGTCTAACCCTAAACCCACCAAATTAGTTATTCTGGAACCTGCAACCTGGGATCTAACAAGCTTTTCTAGGTGATGTTTGTTTATGTTTAAATTAGACACTACTAGTCAGCAGCTCTCTGACACCACCCAATGCACTTGGGAAGTCTCTCAGCCTGCAGCCTGCCTGATGAGCATATACAGGCTGTAGTGAACCTCTGTTACTGAAGGGAGTAGTAACATAGGTGAACAAGAATCCTTAGTTTGTTTTCATGGGGGGAAAATGAAAAACATACTGATTTTTTTAAAAATATATTTTTAGTTGTGAATGGACCTTTATTTTTTATTTATTTATATGCAGTGCTGAGAACTGAACCCAGTGCCTCATACATGCTAGGTAAGTGCTCTATCACTGAGCTACAACCCCAGCCCCAACATGCTGGTCTTAAACCATAAAAGAAATCCAAAAATTCTAAGAGTATTTTTACTTCCTCTATACCAGAATTTTTCAACCTTAGCATTATTAACATTTTAGGCAAATAATTCTTTGTTTACAGGAAAGGGCAGTTTTATTCAGGGTAGGGTATTAAGCAACATTCCTCTATTCACTAGATGTAACACCCCACCAATATATACACCCAATCGTTATGACAACCAGAAGTATTTCCAGACATTGTCAAATATCCTCTAGATGGGTGGCAAGGTGAGTTGAAGCAAAATTATTCCTGGCTAAGAACCACTGTTCTAAACAATACAAGGCTGGAGGAGGTATGCTCAGTAGTAGAGTGCTTGATGAGCATATGTGAGGCCCTGGGTTTGATCCCCAGTACCACTTAAAAAAAAAATGTTAAACTTAATCCATATTGACAAAATCTTCTGTTTCTGAAACAAAAATGGATCTTTAAATTTTATCTATAAATTTATTCAGATTCACCATTTTATTTCGACCTCTGCGACTTATCAGTCTGATCAGAATGTTTCATTTGGCTTACCAAAAAAGACAACTTGAAAAGCTGACCAGAAGGCTGGTGAGTAAGCAAAACACGTTTATTTTGGGCTGGGAAAGTATCTCAGTGGTAGAGTATTTGCCTAGCACGTGCAAGGCCCTAGGTTCAATCCTCAATACCACACACACACACACACACACACACACACACACACACATTTCTTTTGTGTTTAAGAAAATATAAGGGTTATAGATATTTACATAATGTTTTATTTTTATGTTGATTTATATCTTACACATTGTAAAATTGCTTTAAACTCCCAGGTTTCAGGAAACAAAAGGAGATACACAAAGGATGGATTTGACCTGGACCTCACTTACATTACTGGTTTGTGACTTTAACTGTTGATTTATTTATGTTAATTTCTAATTGTTCTTATGAGTAATAATATTTTCTTTTGGTTTTGCCTTGTTGAAGTATTTTCTTTTAAATTATCCTTTACCCATGAAGACACATTCCCTGGTAATGGAAAATTTCATTCATTTCAAATCAGGTCTACTTGGTGGAATGGATTTTCAGCTGACTCTATTTGAGTTTGATTTAGAATTTATTGAGTTGTGATAGTCATCCTGGGTTCCAAAAGTCCCAGAGAGACTCCTTTTTTTCCTTGAACCCAAAAGAATGAGGTCACTGTTTTGTAGGTCTCAGGTTTTCTGAGTCAAGAGGGATAGAAAGCACCTGGAGTTTCTATCATCACTGGATCCCAGACTTCCTGGTTTTTCTTTGGTGTTCAAGAAATAAATTCCAACTACAGGGGAAGCTCTAGACTGATGTCAATACAAATCTGTGGCATATAGCATACAGTCAGTTCAATGATAATTTTTTTGAATAACTAAATATATTATCTAAATTTATTGAATAACTAAATAAATTACATAAATATAATATAAAATATTGTACACTGAGAATGTGGTAGCTTTTTTCTCTATCCTGAAAGTTCTTTTCTGTGAAAAGGGAGTCTGATTAAATATAGATTAGATTTTTGTATATTGTTTCACATCTATAATGACATTCATAGTAGTGATTACTTTGACTTCCAGATCGTATTATTGCCATGTCATTTCCATCTTCTGGAAAGCAGTCTTTCTATAGGAATCCAATTCAGGTAAGGATGTTAATATACAAATATTCACTTCTCGGTGAATATGGACAATGAAGTCATAAGCTTGATACTGACCCAGAGATAGTAATACTTTTCTAAAAGTTTGCTCTTTCAGGTAAAAAAAATCATAATGGGTTGATATCAATTTGATTTTATTATTTACAAACCATTCAAACATACTGGCTTATAACAACACCTTTTATTTCACTTATGACATGTGGTTTGTGAATTTGGATTGGGCTTAACTGGGTGGTTCTGATAATCAGGGACAGAACTGGCTATCTCATCTGGACTTGCTCATACATCTGTGGATAGCTTTTGGGTCATCGGAGTACTGGCTAGTCTAAAATGCCTGGCTAGATGGTTCTACATAGTGTCTCTTCGCAAGGCAGACTAGGTCGATCTTGTTTACATGGTGGCAGAAGCAAAGGTCCAAGGAACAGCAAGCAAAAGAATGCAAAGCTTCTTATGACCCAGACTCTATACTAGTATAATGTGGCATCTACTTCATTCTATTGGCCGAAGCAAACTACAAAACCAGTCTGTATTTGAGGAGTAGAATAGGAGAAATTGCAAAGAATTATGGTCATTTTTCATTGTTTATCGGGAGAAGAAAGGGAAAGCTGTAACTAAAATGTATGCTTTTAGATTGGTATTCTAAATTATAATGGAGGAATAACATTTTGGGCTCTGTGGATGACTAAATTAATTTCAAACATATAGGGCTGTTTGCTATTGAAGAAATTCCAGCTGAAAGACATTAAGAAGTTAGCATTTATGTGTGTATTATTACATTTATTTTACCCCAATATAAATGTAATTATATATCAGTATGTATGTATGCCTATATATAAATGCAATCATGTGTCTTTTAATGATAAGATATGTTGTATTGAGTGATCACATCATTGTGAATATATGTTAAAACCAAACAGTCCAAGTTAACACATATCATTTCTTCATAAGAGTTTAGCTTTCATTTGATTTGTGCTTTATAGTTGAAATATTACCTTGGTTTTCTAAGCTATGGACTTGCAAAACTTAATCTTGTGTGTTGGAAGATTCGGTGCCAGCATCATTTATTTTCATATCTGGTGTGCAGTCCTTAGTGCTACTCATAAAAAAAATGTGTTTATCATTAGTACTATAGCACCCCAAAAAACCCACCCAAGTCATAAGAAGACAAATGTGCATCCATATGTGAATACATGATGAACAGAATTATACCATGTGGTAATTATGCAGTGAAAGGCTGTAAACTAATTTTTATTGTTTATTTTTAAATATTTAATTATTTATTCATTTTTTTTAGTTGTAGGTGGACACAATACCTCTATTTTATTTTTATGTGGTGCTGAGGATCGAACTCAGTGCCTCATGCATGCTAGGTGAGTGCTCTACCATGGAGCCACAATCCAGCCCATAAACTAATTTTTAGACTGAAAAAAAACAGTGAAATATAGTACTTAAATAAACTAAAACAATTACAGGGACACTAGGGAACATAAGCTTATGAGACCACTGTTGGTCATTATGTGGCACATCACTATATACATAATTATACATATGCATATAAAATTTTATGTTTATTGAAGTATACTGTAAATTGCACTGTGTACTTGATGAAATTATGTATAAGTATACATGCATGTAGCCAACACCCCTATAAAGGTATTGAAAATTTCTTGCCCCTTTCCAGACAATACTTCAAAACACCAGAAACAATTACTATTTTGACTTATCACAGATTAATTTTACTTTTCCTTGAATTTCATGTAAGTGGAATCATATAGTAGGTCTTTTGTAACTGGCTTTTAATCTTCAAAATAAATTCTGTCAGATTCATCTCATATTATTTTATAAACTGATGGCTGTTTTTTTAAAACAATGAAAACATTAAGATTTATTGCTTTATAGAACACTATAATTAAAATGCAAGCATGTGCACACAGAAAGCATATAATTATATACTGCTTGACAGTCACATTACATCCTGCAAAACACATTACATTCTACAAAATCCACTTTACATAAATTTAAAAATTCTAAATATCAAAAAGTACAAATGAAAAGAGAGGACTAACACTTCTCAAAAGAAGAAATACAAATATCCAACAAATATATGAAAAAATATTCAGCATCATTAGCAGTTAGAGAAATGCAAATCAAAACTACATTCAGATTTCATCTCACTCCAGTCAGAATGGCAGTCATCAAGAGCAAACAATAATAAATGCTGGAGAGGATGTGAAGAAAAAGGAACCCTTACACTGGTAATGGGAGTAAATTAGTACAACAATTATGGAAATCAGTATGGAGGTTCCTCAAAAGATTAAGCATGGAACATCATATGATCCAGCTGTACCACTCCTCAATATTTATTCCAAAGGATTAAAGTCATCATGTTATAGTGACACATACAAATCTAGTTTTAGAGCAGCACAATTCACAGTAGCCAAACTATGAAACCACCATAGGTGTTTCATCAACAGATAAATGGATCAAAAAATGTCGGGCTGGGGATGTGGCTCAAGCGGTAGCGCGCTCGCCTGGCATGCGTGCCGCCCGGGTTCGATCCTCAGCACCACATACCAACAAAGATGTTGTGTCCGCCGACAACTAAAATAAAAATATTAAAAAATTAAAAATTCTCTCTCTCTCTCTCTCTCTCTCTCTCTCTCTCTCTCTCTCTCCCCCCCCCTCTCTCTTTAAAAAAAAATGTGGTATGTATACACAGTGGAGTTTTATTCAGCCATAAAAAGAATGAGATTATATCATTTTCAGGAAAATGGATGGAACTTGAGAGCATTATGTTAAGTGAATAAGCCAAACTCAGAAGGTCAAGGGTCATATATTTTCTCTCATATGTGGAAGCTAGAGAGGAAAAAGAAAAGGAAAGGTGGGAGGGGGATGCAGGGGGGAATCTCATGAAAATCAAGGGAGATCAGTACAGTAGAGGAAAGGGAACAGAGGGAGGGAGGAAGAGAGGGAAAAGGGAAAATACTAGGGAATGATAATGGCCAAATTATATTGTGTGCATGTACAAATATGTAACAACAAATTCCACCATATGTACAACTATAATGCACCAATTAGAAAAGGAGGGAAAAAAGAAAGAGGTTTAAATTTGGGAGCCAGAAATTTTGACAGGGAAGTCATAGCTCACATAACTTTAGAATATATGAAACTGAAAATATTGAGTTAGAGTAATCTATATTTAACAAATATAATACTGTTGAAGGTGCATGTTTAACAAATTTAATTCACTTCCCCAAACTGGCAGAATCATCTTATAGGTAAAGCATCCCTTGATTGCTAATAATGTTTTTTAGTATGTTGAATTAATTATTGTCAGTTAATTACAGTTTGTCTAAATGGAGCCATTTTTTCTTTTTAAAATTTGGTGGTTAGTATTTTAGTGGTACTTAATAATATCTGGAATATGTTTTTAAAAACCCAGGACCTAGTGGGCACAGTGGTGTACACCTGTAATCCCAGTGGCTCAGGAGGTTTAAGCAGGTGGATTGCACATTCAAAGCCAGCCTCAGAATCTTAGTGAGGCCCTCAGCAATTTAGCAAGACCCTATCTCAAAAAATAAGAAGGGCCTGGAATATATAGCTCAATAGTTAAGTGCCCCTGGGTTCAGTCCCCAGTACCAAATATTAAAAAGAAAAAATAAAACCCAGGACCATAATTTAGCATGTAAATCCAAATATAAACATTACTCTTGGCTTCTGGTCTCTAGATTATTAGTTTCTATCATTTTTTTTTACTGCTACTTGCTTGGTATTGACAAATACCCTAATAAGTCATTGATCCCTTTACCATTTTTAATCAAAATATCCAAAGATGAATCACCTATTTTCATAAAATCCACAAATCATGAGCCACACAAAAAGCATAACTTGCCAGGCATAGTGAAAACACTTTTAATCCCAGATACTCAAGAGAATGAGGCAGGAGGATCACAAGTTTGATGCCAACCTCAGAACTTAGAAAGACCCTATTTTATAATAAAAAGGGCTGGGGATGTAGCAAGAGTTAGAGTACCTTTAAAGTCAATTCTGAGTACCAAAAAAAGAAAAAGAAAAAAAAAAGCAAACCTAATGGCTGAACTAATATTTAGTCTTTCTTTTTTGCCAAGGCATAGGCTCAAATCTAAATTATTAGTTCAATTACCTGGGCAGACTGAGAACTAAGCTATGAAGCTACTTCAGTGACAGTATATTCAGTGGTAACAGGATATCCTACACAGTGAATGTCATATTATAGATAAGAACTATTTTAAATCAAGGTTGACTAAAGGGTGAAGAATTCAGATTTGAGCATACTTAACTCCCAGGATGATGTCCAGGAGTCATGTGATTCCACATGATTATACTTAAAAGAGATGACAGTTTTAGAATTATGGTTTGGGCAATGATGAGTATATAAAGCATGGATAAATTTTCACAAATGGGAAATTGGCTAGCAGAAAAATGTTAAATGCTTCCTCAAAGTAGCAAGAGTTGTACAGATGTGGGACCCATAGAATTAATGGAGAAAAATATGATGGTGGACGCATCAACAAATTTGCCACCACTGCCACATCATACCAGTAAAGATGTGCCTTTGCTCCTACATCAAGAAATGTGCTACTCTGGGCAGAAAGAAGTGTTTGGCAGATTTAAGAAAACCCAAAGGTGAAAGACAAATTTTCTGCTTTCACAGAAAATGAGGTTGTAATCTTAGCCCACACAAAGGTTGAAATATTAAGGAAAATCAGATATATCTTACCTACAATCCTAAAATCTTCCTGGCTATCTTTTAATTTTTTGGCCTTGGTTCAATTGAATACTCTTTATTCTGGGTGAGGACCCAAATTATCCATTTAGTGACAGATTGTGGTCTTTGTAGATTCTTGGTAGAGTTGAACTTTTCTCTAGATGCCTGTGTTCCTTCTCAGTTAATTTGGCTAGGAGGTATTTAGAGTTGTTCAGTAAACTACTTAGATCAGAAAACAAAAGTTACAACAATATCTATACATTGAGTCAAGGATGGGCTCATGCTGGAAAATCAAATCATTAAAATAATTTTGGGGACATTAAGAGAAATATGGAGATCCAAGGGGTCTCTAAAACTTAATTACCTAGGTATATTATTATTTTCACCAAAGAAGCAAATATGCTGTTCTTATATATGGGTATACTAAAAAAGCTGCACATAAATTTACCAGTGTGAGAGAGAATTTTCTTATTGAGAGAACGCAGTTCAAGACTGTATTCTAATGGTTGCATGATATTTCATTGCACTGTCACTATTATAAATAACACTATTGAGTAGAAGACTATTTCTAGTTAGAATCCTAGGAGTGAAATTACCTAGTTAAAGAATATGAATATTTTTAGGATTCTTACTACATATTGCCAAATCCATGAGGTTGTAATAGCAACAAATCAAAAGTTTTATTTTCATGCCATATTGGCCAGCATTGGACTTTTTCATTTGAAGGGAAAGGGCTGATTTCATAAGTGAAAATGGCATTTCATTGTTGTTTTCCCTTTTTGATCAGCAAGGCTGTATATTACATAGGTTGTTAATTCATTGGATTTTTCTCTTTTGTGATTATTTAGGTCTTTGGTCCATTTATCTATTGGTTGAAAGGGTACTATTTAAAATTGTAGTTACTAATTTAAATTAAATTAATGAGTTATTAATTTATTACACTTGGCATGGTTGCCATTCAGTTGACTTTAATGATAAATCTTTTCCCCTGTTTGTTGTGGCATTTTTTAGAGAGAGAGAGAGAGAGAGAGAGAGAGAGAGAGAGAGAGAGAGAGAGAGAATTTTTAATATTTTATTTTTTGGCAGACACAACATCTTTATTTGTATGTGGTGCTGAGGATCGAACTCAGGCCGCACGCATGCCAGGCAAGCACGATACCACTTGAGCCACATCCCCAGCCCTGTTGTGGCATTTTTTAAAACAGAAGTTGCCCGTTTTTAAGTCAAACCTAAACCTATTGCTATTCCATTTACTCAACACTTAAGTCATTATCCAAAGAATTGAATACTGTTTATTTAAATTTCTTAGAGATATTTGGGTGGTTTTACATTTGATTTCTCATTTGTATCTGGATTTTATTTGAGTGAAAAACATCACATGAATTTTTGAAGTGTATAAAACTCCCATTCTGTGCAGACTCAAGGTGTTTGTCTTTTTTACTCATCATTTCCTTCTGACACAGAAATAACTAATTTACAATGTGATTACTTTGATAGCTTAGTTTACTTCTTCTAAATATTAAGCCAGTAAACACACTCTGATGGTACTAATCAGCTTTTTAATGTTGTGACAGTTATTTTTTCTATTGCACGGAAATATGTGTGTGCATGTTTCAGGTAGATAAGTTTTCTAGGAACATTATTGGATTAATATGGTGGTCTTAACTCTATTTTCAATAATAACTACTATTTGTTTCTTGTTTTAAAAGTTATGCATTTATGTACATATACATATGCACACATATATACATATTCATATTTTTAAATATTTATTTTTTAGTTGTAGTTGTACACAACACCTTTATTTTATTTATTTATTTTTATGTAGTGCTGAGGATGGAACCCAGGGTCCCACACAAGTGAGGCGAGCAATGTGCCGCTGAGCCACAACCCCAGTCCTATAACATAAAAATCAGATAAGCTAAAAAGTCTCCATGTTTCTATCACTTATCTAAAATTTGATATAATTTATCTTTTTCTATCATTTATACCACACACAACTATATTATATTTATGCTTATTTATTTACATAGTGCTTAGACTGTAATATCCAGGTAATTATATAGGAGATATCTATTCAGAATTAGATTTGAATAGCAACCATTTATTACTTGCCATGAATTAATGATTTGAAAGAAATTTACCTAAGCTAATTAACCAGCCAGTTTCCTTCTCTGGTAGCTTAAACAATGTCTATGTATAGTACAGGTTAATCTAAGTAGCCAAGCTGGCTCTGTGGGCTATTTGAAAATAATCAGCTGGTTACATATGATTTAGAATGCACATACCCTCATATGTCTTGAATTTCCCTGAAGCTACCAGTGACAGGTGAATAAAAATTAATAATCATTTTAGGTTACTCATGGGTTATACTGGATATATAAAAATTTGTGTCTGTCTTTTTTAGGAAGTTTCACGATTCTTAGACTTGAAGCATGAAAACCACTATCAAGTGTATAATCTATGCAGTATGTATATGACTCAATACTTTGTTATCATAGATAGAAAACAGATTACTGCATATAAGAAGAAGATTCCACTTTTACATTATATTTAATCATAAGTATTTAATGGTGGAGAATTTGATAAAATAAAAAAATCTTCATCTTGTGCTGCCCTGTTTGTAGGAAAAGTTAGTTCAACAGCATAGTTTGCTCTGAGGGAAGCAGGCCTTGCGGGACCGAAGAGGTGGAATGGAGGCAAACAATTTTAGGGAAGGTCTGCTCGGGTGTTCAGGTTTAGGAAAATCTGTTTTCCCTTACAAATTGTGTTGAAGACATTAGACAATTAGACAAACATGTTCTCTAACCCATCAGGAGTGGGTCTTGCTGAAAACATAGAAACTAATGGGATAGATAAATAAATAAATAAATAAATAAATAAATAAATAAATAAATAAAACAAACAAATGACCCTTTAGAAAACAGATTATACTCTAGTTTACCACTTTGTCTCTCATGTTATTTTCTTCCACTTGTATATTATAAAATAAACATCTTCAATGGCAACCATCTTTTTTAGCTACATTTTCCTCTACTCCTTGGTTTCTAATTATCCTACAGTTATATAATGAGTAGCCTTCTAGAAAGCTAAAAGGGAATCTATTAAACAAAACTAATTCAAATGTAGAATACCTGCTATGGACAAACCACTTCTGTCTTTATGTTTTTGAGATTCTCTACAATTACTTTAGAGCAGTAAGAGCTACTCAAAAAGCTTCTTCTGAAGATAGAGAATTTCTAAAGGAAAATTCAAACTATTCATAATTTCATCATTTACTATGTTATTAGGAAAAGAGATATGACATATGTATTTTTTTATTTTAGGTGAAAGAAGTTATGATCCTAAGTACTTCCATAATAGGATCCATAGAATCATGATTGATGATCATAATGTCCCTACTTTGAAGTAAGTTTTATTCCACATTGACTATTAAAAGAAGAGTTAATACATCGGGCTTGATTTAAAAAAAAAATTTAATTCAACTGAAAATCTTACATTTAAAATCAGAGAGATGGTGGTGTTCTCCAATGAAGCAAATGCGTGGATGGCTCAAGATGATAAAAATATCCTAGTGATTCACTGTAAGGGAGGCAAAGGTAATAATGCTTTTCTTTTATTTCCTTTTTTGTAAAGACATTGAAAAGATAAATAGAGGTACAAGAACAAGATAAACATTGCTATTAATCAGTATAGTAGTTTTAACATTTTAAAATATTAGCTTTAAGACTGAAGAAAGGAAAGGAAATAAGGAAGGGGCCGGAAAGAGTAAAGAAAGGAATAAAGCAAGGGAAAAAAAGCTAAAGAAGGTCAAGCATATTTGCCTTTGAGTATTGATTATTTGGGTTTTTCATTTTTTTAATATTTATTTTTTAGTTATAGTTGGATACAATACCTTTATTTTATTTATTTTTATGTGGTGCTGAGGATCGAACCCAAGGCCTCACATGTGCTGGGTAAGCGCTCTACCACTGAGTCACAACCTCAACCCTGGGTTTTTCATTTTTAAATTGCCAATTTATATCTGTCAAAATATAAATGGTGTTTAACTTGTTTTTTTTTTTTTCAGTGCCAGGGATTGAACCCAGGGCCTATGCATGCTAGGCATGCACTCTACCAATGAGATACACCCCCATCCCAGTTTTTCTTTTAGTAACTATTCTGAAGATTTCAGCCTACATCCTTGATTTAGGTATTGATTTTTTAATGTTGACTTCATATCTAGCATTTTTCCTAAATTCTTTATTTACATTTAGAGGTTTGCCTGTAAATTTGGTTGGATTTTTCCAGTCTACAAATATGAAAGTTTGTTACTTCTATTTTATTTTTTTTTTCCTTTCAAAAACTTTTATTTGTATGAACAGTTCCTAGCTCTTGATTTAGCTTAGAGCTTTTAAAAGAGCAGAGACCTTATATATTTGAGTCTGAAAAACAAGTTTCTGCTATTAATCAGAAATAATTCTTTCTACTTTATAGCTTACCCGTTGGAGTAAGCCAAAAATAAAACCAAAGTTGCTTTTTCTGACAGAAGATGAGAAAATGATAAAAGGAACGTCCTAAATTCTAGATGTTACTTCTATTTTAATCCTTGTATGTTTCATTTCATTTTCTTTTCTTACTATACTAGCTATATCCTGAAGCACATTATTAGATGGAGGCAGTGAGTGGTAGGAATTTTTTTTTTTTTAGTTTTTGCCCTCAAAGAGAATACTAAGACATTACATCATTAACATGATGTATTTAGTGGGTATTTTTGTAGATTTTTTTTGGCAAGTTAAGGAAATTTCATAGTTTTTCTTAATTTTTAAAGTCATGAATGTATGATAAGTTTTAGTGAACATGTTTTCCTGAACTTACCAAGACAAGTGTAAGGTATGTCTCCTTTAATCTGTGAATATATTAAATAAATATGGATTTCTAATATGATACTTGCATCCTTGAGATAAAAGGCACTTTGTATTTTCTACGTTACTGAATTAACTTCGAAAATATTTCAATTGAGTTTTTAAAAATATCTACATTCATAAGTGAGACTGGACTAAAGTAATCTTCTGTAATTGTGAAGTTTGGAAATCAGTTATAATAATGTATTGAGTTAGGAATTTTTATCATTATTTACAAGAATTCATAAAATATAGGAATCATTGCTTTCTTATAGACTTTAAAAGAATTTTACCTTGTCCTTTGGAGGGAGGTGATGAGAAAGACTTGGACTAAATGTAATTTTTAATGCAATTTTATTGCAGTGTTTAAGCTTTCTCTTATTGAACCAATGTTTTAAATAGTATTGTTTTCATTTAAAGTTTAAAAATGATGGGCATAAAGTTACTCTTATGGTGCTATTAAATATATATTATATCAGTGATTTTGCCCCACCCCTTTATTTGTGTCTCTGAGTCTCCTTTTCTAAAATCAGTACTAGGCTTTTACAGAGTGAGTACAGCAAAAGGACCCAGAAGTCTCAAAGTTGTAATGTTATTGGCAATGTTTAACCACAATATTGAATTGCATCTAGATAGACAAGGAAATGAAAGTAAAAAAAGAAAAAGGAGTGGTTCAAGGACTAGATATCATGATAAATTTAAAGGGCAAACATGTTCAGTTATTCATACACTAAACAGATACTGTCCAATTGCAGGAGATGTGACAATGTACAAAGCAAATACATTTGCTGTCCTCTGAGGAAACCATAGTGTATTGTTTAACAAGGAAAAAAAAAAAAACGTGTGTGCATTATTGGATAGTGATGAGTGCCACTGGAAAAAAAAAAAAAAGAAAAAGGAGAATATGAAGTCAGGGAGAGGTTGCTTATTGATATATAGATGGTCAAAGAGAGTGTCACCAATAAAATTATATTTGAGCAGAGATGTTATAAAAAGATTATCATGAGAGTTTGGTATACAGAGAACAGAGTAATAGAGAATACCATGAAGGTCACCAAAAATAAATGAAATAAATCTATTGTAACTTTGAAAATTCATATTGGGCTTGAATGATCATGGCCTCTTCATCAAGGTGAACACAACCAATCCTTTTAAGTATATCTGTGTTAAAATTTCTCCCTGAATTAACATCAAAATTACTGTCTTACAGTTTAGAGAATCTACCATCTCTTGATTTTCAAAGTAGTAAGTCAGATAGATCAGTGCTAGGTTAAAAGCACCCCTCATGTTCTCTACCAGGGGAATATCTAATGATGTTGATCAAATCTTTTGCATGTTTGTTCAGTCAGGGATTTAAAATTTTCTGGAATATAATTCCAACTGGGTCCAAACACTAGAATTCACCGAGAACTTTCTTAATCTTCTTTTATAGATTTTTTTTTTAATCAAAGTTTATCCTTGAGGCTGGAGTTGTGGCTTAGTGGTAGATCACTCTTGCCTAGTACATGTGAGGTGTTGGGTTTGATCCTCAGCACCACATAAAAATAAATAAATAAAATAAAGGTATTGTGTCCAACTACATCTAATATATCCCTGACTGAATAAACTTGCAAAATATGTTGATACATATAAATATATAAAAGTCTATCCTTGTCAGTTGTTTTTTGTTTGTTTGAAGGACTGAAAAATAAAAGACAGTTGAAAAATTTCAGCTATTATAACATAATGGTTAAAAACACAGATTTTAAAATAAAATATCTGGGTTTGAATTCAAACTGTGTCATTTTTTTAAAATGTTATTTTTAACTTGTGTATAGATATTTATTTATTTGTTTGTTTATATGTGGTGTTGAGAATCAAACCCAGTGTCTCACACATGCCAGGCAAGTGCGCTACAGCTGAGCCACAGCCCCAGCCCTCAAACTGTGTCATTTAATGATTATGTGGTATTGAGTAAATTATTTAAACTCTCTATGCCTTAGTTTTATGATATGTAAAATGCACATATTATGACAGTACAAATTTCATAGTTATGTTGTAAGGATTAAAATGAAATATGTAGAGTACCTGGCAAGAAATGACAATGACTCAATAATATTGGCTGTTATAGTATCCTTCAATATTATACCATCAGTTTATAATACTAAACTTATCTTTCCTTAACTTTATAGGTAAGCAATGAACAACTTTTTATTTAAATAATACAGGTGAATATTTAAACTTCTCTAACATTTCAATGTGTTTTACTGAATGCTGCAAGGTATACCTTCATTTGTTGTATCACTGAGGCAGTCAAATTCTCAAAGGACTGTTTTAGTCTGAAGATCTTAAATAAGAAATTACTTCAATTAGATTTTAAGTGCTGTAAATAACTAAGGGACACACACACACTCACACATACACACACACCCCTACCCATTGTTGGTATGTGGATAATCACTTTTGCCGCAGTCTGGCTGGGCACAATTCAGGAGCCACTTGTCAAAAGAAACGAACTTTATTTTTAGACACCAAACCACACAGCTCTTCAGGAAAACCTTCAGAGCCCAACTGCCACCACCGGCTTCCCACAAGCCTCTCAACCTCCCCCACTCCTCCTGCTCTTGAGGCCGATTGGCTGGGTTGCGTGGGTAGAGCCAAAAAAAGTCCCCCAATGAGCAGCTCCGTGGTCTGAAAGGGCGGGGAAACAACCCAATGAGCATCATCGCAGAGGAGCCAATCAGTTGGCAGCTAGAAGTTTGCTGGGGCTGTGAGCCAATCATCAGCTGGCAGCTGGAAGTTTGCTGGCAGCTAGAAGTTTTCTGGGGCCCCTTCGGCTGTGGCTCTCAACAACTTTAGTTTTCTGCTTTATAGAGTCAGGAATTTGGAGTGTAAGTTCTACTTCATGGGGAAGGATGACAGACACAACTTGGAAAAGAAGTTTAAGGATTTTTATAAAAAGTCATAAAAGGTGGTATAAAGGAGGCAAAATTTTACCTTTGCCCCTTTAGGACTTTTCATCGGGCCCTAAGAATCAAATTGACATATGACAGATTGACAGGAGAAAAACATACAAAAAAWTTTTTTAATTATTTTATTTATTTATTTTACATTTTGACATATAGTACACAAATGGAATACAACTTCTCATTCCTCTAGCTGTACATGGTTTAGAATTACTCCAGTGATGTAATCATACATGTATATAGAGTAATAATGTCTCTCTCTTTTTATCGTCCTTCCTATCCCCACAATCCCAACCCTCTCCTCACTCCCCTCTAGACAAACCAAAATTCCTTCATTCTTCCCTATTCCCCCTTCCCCTGTCTAGATCAGCATCCACTTATTAGAGAAAATATCAGCTTTTGGTGTTTGGGAATTGGCTTATTTCACTTAGCATGATATTCTCTAACACCATCCATTTACCTGCAAATGCAATAATTTCATTCTAAGCCTAACCCTTAAAGAAAGCTGAGTAATATTTCATTGTGTATATGTACCACATTTTCTTTATCCATTCATCTGTTGAAGGACATCTAGGTTGGTTCCATATTTTAGCCATTGTGAATTGAGCTGCTATAAACATTAATATGGCTAAGTCACTGTAGTATGCTAATTTTAAGTCCTTTGAGTATAAACCAAGGAGTGAGATAGCTAGGTCAAATGTTGATTCCATTCCAAATTTTCTGAGGAATCTCCACACTGCTTTCCATAGTGGTTGCACCAATTTGCAATCCCATCAACAGTACATGAGTATAACTTTTTCCCCACATTTTTGCCAGTACTTCTTATTGCTTGTATTATTGATAATTGCCATTCTGACTGGAGTGAGATCAAAGTTTAGAGTAGTTTTGATTTGTATTACTCTAATTGCTAGAGATGATAAACATTTTTTCATATGTTTGTATTTCTTCTTCTGTAAAGTGTSTGTTCAGTTCCTTAGCCCATTTATTGATTGGGTTATTTGAAAAACATATAAATTTATTTAATATAAGTTTTATGTGGCACAAGAGCCCTTTTCAAGAAATGGAGTCCTGGGGCTGGGGTTGTAGAGAAGCTATCATATTAAGATCAATCTAACCTACTTGTTATAATTATATGGACTTTTATTTTATTCATTTATTTATATGTGGTGCTGAGAATTGAACCCAATGCCTCACACATGCTAGGCAAGTGCTCTACCACTGAGCCACAACCATGTGAGGCACTGGATTTAATTCTCGGTACCACATATAAGTAAATGAATAAAATAAAGGTCCATCAACATCTAAAAAATATATTTGAAAAATTAGGACAAAAAATAATAATTATATTGAATAATCAAATAATGTGTAAATCTATAAAATGTCAAAGTGAACAAAAATTTTAATTTTATGAAAACTAAGTTGAATGTTTTAGGAATATTCAATGAAGTTGAATGGCTACAACTAAAATTATAGCTGAATTAAATGCAAGAAAGATCACTATAAAACATTGTGAGAACAATTTTTGTCATTTTTTATTTGTTCTTTCTAGATGGGAAAACAATTCTAGTAGAAAAATCTAGAAGAATTCTGCACCTAGGTTTCTTTAAAGAATCTGAATTGAGAGATTATAGATGATACAGTAGCCTTTATACAATAGGACTTGTTTTTTGAGAAAAGTTTCTGGGTAGGAGAACTCATACTTAAAAAGTTAAAGCCTTTGTTTGAAGTTTGAAGTTACAATAAAATATTTAAGGTATGTATATAGTATTTTTATAGTTCCCTATTTGCTTGAATGATGAAAGAACATCTACTATGTCTGCAGTTGTACTTATCCACAAGGATGTGGATCTGTTCATGATATATCCATAATTGGTTAAGGAAATTTTCCAAAGTTTCTTTCAAGTGGGAAAAAAAACAGAGTTACAGAGACCCAGAGATGTCTTCCAAAATTGAAATATTAACAATCAATGCAGCTGAGAGAATGGCTGTTAATGAGCAGTAGCCTCTTTTGGGGGTGTGTGGGGGTACTGGGATTGAACTCAGGGACACTCAACCACTGAGCCACATTCCCAGCCCTATTTTGTATTTTATTCAGAGACAGGGTCTCACTGAGTTGCTTAGCACCTCTCTTTTGCTGAGGCTGATCACTTTGAACTCATGATTCTCCTGCCTCAGCCTACGGAGCTTCTGGGATTGCAGGTGTCTACTTTCATGCCCAGCTCAGTAGCTTCTTTTTGCAGGCAGCTTTTATTGATTATAGCAAGAGGTAGTATAAACTGCTCTTTTATATGTATGAAGACACGAATGGGATGACTCTGTTTTATGCACAACTAGAGATATGAAAGATTGTGCTCTGTATGTATGTATGAAAAGATAGGATAGAGTAGAAAATTTTGTGCCTCTCAGGAAAAAAAGTAGATTTGAATTACATAAAATAAGTTCAATGTGTACTATGTAAATCAAATGCTACAACTTATTGTATAAAAGAAGAAACATTTTTCCCCCGAAACTCAAATTTGGTATGACAGAAAAAAAAAATACAAATTGGAATAAAATAAGATACTTTGAGATGAAGTGTAGAAGCAGAGTCAAAGGTTTGCTTTAAAATGTTACAGCACAGAAAAAAGAGAAGACTGGTGATATAGCTTAGTGGTAGATTGCCTGCTGAGCATGCATGAGGCCCTGGGTTTGATCCTCAGTACTGCCATTTACCCTCACATAAAAAAGAAAAAGAGGGAAGAAGGGAGGGGAGAAAAGAGAGAAATTGAACAAAAAAATACTGATAATTGTAGAATCTGGGAAACATATATAAGAATGCATTATACTATTCTCTCTACATTTGTTATATTTGACAATTTTTTCTAATAGCAATTTAAAACTCTAAAATGGAAGGACTAATAGGTCTTGTAAATGCTTAGATGGTATTACAGGTTCAGATTCTGTTTTATCTTTCATTGGTGTTTTATTTATGTTAGTTACAAAAACACTATATAATTAGCTTTTTGGCAGGGTTCTGGGGATTGAACTTAGGGACATTCCACCACTGGGCCACATTCCCAGCCCTATTTTGTATTTTATTTAGAGAAGGGTCTGACTGAGTTGCTTAATACCTCACTTTTGCTGAGGCTGGCTCTGAACTTGAGATCCTCCTGCCTCGGCCTCCTGAACTCCTAGGATTACAGACATGTGCTGCTGTGCCCAGTTATAATTAGTTCTTAATAAGTAAGTAGCACTATCTTTGGAATCTTCTAGCAGAGTCGATTCCATCACCCAGCATTAGTGATGGAACAAAAATACACACAAGAACATGTATTTCATGCCCACAGGACACAGAATTCCTAATGCAGTCACAGAGTAGTGAAACATCTTTGACTATTTCTGAGTTGAAATATTTGGGACAAGCACTTTCAGGGTGAATAAAACACAAATGAAATGAACTTTTTGAGTATTTCTGAGTATATTTTTATACTGTGTACTACAATGAACAAATGACTTCTTGAACTAATATCTTATATTTTCTAGGAAGAACTGGAACTATGGTTTGTGCCTGCCTTCTTGCCTGTGGAATGTTTTTAACTGCAGAGGTAGGAAAGACATTACTTACTGTACACTGTCTGGTTGAACTTGCTGATTCTGAAACATCACTTGTAGAATGTTAAGATGATTCTTTGAATCAAGTGAAATTGGAGAGGTCGTTTTTAGGAAGCCTTGTTTTGATACCTCCTGGTTTATTGTAGTATTTATTATGTTTATTAAGTTTATTATGCAGTTAGTAACTGTCCTGAGTACCTCTAGACTGGAGTGATATCTGTGAGGCACAATATTTAATGGAATACCAAAAATATCAATAATTAAGACATATTACTTCAGTATTTTCAATTAGTGAAAAAATCCATGATGTATATAATATCAACATTATTTTAAAAGGCAGGACTTGGTAGGAGCAGGATTAAAGTAAGAGAGGGAGAGCAAAATGCAAATGCAAAAAACTCCAGGAATCAAGATGCTTCCCTCTCCTCACCACCAGTAACATGGCTTCTTCCTTCCTACAAGTTTCTATCAGATTAATTAGATAAGTCTCCAAAGGACCTTGACCATCCTTAGAATTACTAAGTTGATAAAAAGTATTGTTTCCAACTCAAAACATAGTTTCTTCTGTATATTATTCTCTCTGCATAATCAATTTATGGAGATCTGTGACCTCTGAAAATTTTTGAGGGGATAAGGTGGACTGTTTCCACTTCTTAAAGCATAGTTTTCAGTTGTTTTACTGACAGGATCTTGCTGACAAGTTACACTTATAGGACACATCCCCCAACAACTCTGCTCATCTCTTGGCCTAGGCTACAAAAAAGAAGCTCTGGGTTCTACAAACTTGCTCAGCTTTCTAATCCCACTCTTTCTGTTTTTTAACTTGAGACACACAGGTTTTGAAAATGGGTGTTCAATCCTTGCTCTCCATGGCCCCTTGGGGATTAGGGCAGCACCATGTCTGTTCTCAGGCTGGACTGGTTGGGCCAATGCCTGACCCAACAAAAATGAATATACAAAGACACAGCTTTTCAAATTATGGATCATAACAGTGAGTTGTTATAAAGTCTACTTATTGGATTATGTCCAACATTTTTGATAAAAAGGAATAAGCAGAATAGAAAATATCAAAAAATAAACATTGTGTGTGTGTGTGCTAATATCATTAATATGGGTTGAAGCTTCAAAAATGAAACATTTAAAAGAAGTTGATACAGAGCCTTAGCCTGACAGCTGGGGATCTGTGCCTTAGGTCTGTACTACCTCTAACTGGCTGCAGTATCTCTACAGGTCACTTGGTTTTCACTTAACAGGCCACTTAACAGGTCACTTGGTTTTCATTTGACCTCAGTCTTCTCATTTGTAAAATAGCAGGTAGGAAGAAGTATTGTACCAGATGATTTACAGCTCTAAACTCCATGTGTAAATGAGTCTTTGAAATAGAGAAATCCTTGATATGGCTTCATTAATTTTGTTATTTGAGGTAGACTCTGTCCAAAGATTGCTAACTTAAGGAAATAGCATGCCCTTAGAAGCTTTAAGAATGCCTAACATAGAAAACGGAAGAGTGCACATGAACCATGTTATATTGTCTGTCCCCTTTTCTGTAGGAAAGCCTTAATTTTTTTGGACAAAGACGAACAGATAAAAGCAAAAGCTCTAAATATCAAGGAGTAGAAACTCCTTCACAGGTAAGTTTTTTTTTTTTTTTAAGAAGGAGAGTTCTTTGTGGGGTGGGTTACAATTGGCACCTGTTATTTGGTTTCATTTTAGACTCTTCTCCAGTGATCAGGCAACAACACTTAGGTGACTTGTCATAGGCCTTGCTCTCTTCCAGAAGCTACAATGACCCCTCTGGTGCTGTCTATACTGGCAAGCCCTGTGTTCTCCCTGGAGCATTCTCCTTTCCATTTCATATTCATGGTTGTTTACAGAACTCAGGATCTGATTATCCTTCAGAAGCTGGAAGGTCAATACCTAGCGTTCCAGACCCCTGAAGATTACTTAAAATCACCAGCCTTTGATTTCCCTGTAAAGAGGAACCAAGTCTTTCACAAACTCCTCTAGGGCAATTGACAATTCATTGCTCATATAACATCACAAGGACTGTTTCTAGATGAATCTTCTGTGTGTGTGTGCGTGCCTACCCACAGCACAGGCATGCCACACAAGAGAGAGAGGGGGAGGGAGGGAGGGAGAGGGAAGAGAAGGTTGTATTACAAAACAGAATATAAAAGAGAAATAAACATTTTTCAAAAATTCTATAACATAGCAAACATTATTGCACTTTTACATACATTTCATTTAATACTTGTAACACCCATGTGAAATGTAAGCTATTATGCTATTTTTTCCTCTTAAAAACATTATTATGGAAATTTCCAAACATATACAAAAGTCCAGAGAATAATACAATAAATTCTTTTTTTAAGTTGATTTTATTTTTTAAATACACAACAGCAGAATGCATTAAAATTCTTATTACACATATACAGCACAATTTTTCACATCTTTGTATATAAAATATATATTCACGCCAATTCATGTACTTTTTTTGCATTACAATTCTTATTGCACATATATACCACAATTTTTCATGTCTCTGTTTGTATATAAAGTAGGTTGATACCCAATTCGTGTCTTCATACATGTATTTTGGATAATGATGTCCATCACATTCCACCATCCTTGCTAATACCCTGCTCCCTCCCTTTCCCTCCCACCCCCTTCTCTATCTAGAATTCATCTATTCCTCCCATGCTCCCCCTCCCTACCCCACTAATAAATTCTTTTGTAATCATCATACCATGTTTCATTTGCCCCCTCCCCATTCTTCTCAAAACCCTGAGAACCGCTCTCTATTCCTTCATTTTTTAAATCTGGATCATTTTGAAAGAAATTTATCATCAGATCATTTTATTCCACAAGCATTTCAGTATGACATCTAACAGAAGAACATCTTAATACCATTTATAATATCTAAAAATATTATATCTTAATAATACCTTAACAATATCAAACTTCTAGTTCATGTCAAATTTCCATAGTTGTCTTAAATTCTTTTTCACTTTAGTTTACTTCAGTCAGGATCCAAAAAAGATCCACATATTCACTTGATTGCTATGTTTTTAGTTTAAAGATTTCTTGCCTCTTTTTTATTCCTTATAATTTGTTTATACCAGAAACCAAGATCTCTATTTATACTATAGAGCTTACAAAATTCTAGATTTTGTTGAATCATGCTAAGGACTTTATATTCATTATCTCATTTGGTATTCTGAATAACTCTGAGTAGGCACTAATATGATTCCTATTTTACAACCTAGGAAATTGAAGTTTAGCGAAATCAACATCTTGAACTAAGAGTCTAGATCTCTTGGATTCTGCAGCCCATTGTTGTCCATGTTGCCTTCTCTATATTGCCCTCAAACCAAGAGAAAACTGGTTGGGAATTCTTAAGTAGTTGTGGATATGGTTGTGAATGAGACTCTTTCTTCCAGTAGTGATGGGAGCTGAATAGATGCCCTTGACCTTGTTAGTAGAATACTGTTACTACTGATTTTTAGATTGAGACAAAATAACTCAGCTTTACTACTACACTTTTCTTCCATAACCAACAACCACCTTACCACTAGAAAAATAAATAAATAAATAAAAGGGAAAGGTAGGGCTGGGTTGTGGCTCAGTGGCAGAAAGCTTTCCTTGCACATGTGAGGCACTGGGTTTGATCCTCAGTACCACATAAAAATAAATTTAAAAAATAAATGGATTGTGTCTATATATAACTAAAAAAAAATTTTTAAAAAAAGGAAAAGATAACCACAGACCGTAGGCTAAAAGTAATGCATGAACTTACCAAAGTCTAGCTCTAAAATCTGTAATGGCTCCCTGCTGCCAATGGCAGTGAAGTTTTAAGTTGCTACTCTTGGCTTCTACAATTTGATTGCTTCCATAATTTGGTTTGTGTCCCATACTCAGACACATTAGGACAGTCTGTTGTTTCCTAGCCTATCAATACTTTACACCCTCATTCATTGCCTCACATGGGTCCCTTTTCCTGTAGTCCCTTTCCTTTACAGCATTTGCTTTTTCAGTTATAGTCTTTTGTGGGTTTTGTTTTCCTGAGCTATATACCCAGCCCTGTACTGGGGTTTAGCTTAGTGGTAGAGCACTTGTCTGGCATGTGCAAGACCCTGGGTTCAATCCCCACACTGAAAAAAAAAGTGGTGACTTTTGTATCCCCTTTAAAAGTAAGACTGTGTCTTGCCAGTCTTCCTACCCTACACTTCCCAAAGTGTCTCACCACTTTCCTGATATCTTCTTTGTACTGAGTTCTTACTATGTGTTGGTTGTATTAATTTCTGCAGCAGTGTGAGAGCAACAATAGCTTGAAGGACCTGGTGGGTTAAAGCCTTTAGTGGAAGATGGAGAATCTGGTGTCAGGAACTTAGGGAATCTTAGATGTGTCTCCTTCAACAACTCAGTCCCTATACATCTCACTTTCCCCTTCTGCACTCATGCAGTTTCCCTAATATTACTTCCAAACTGGCATACACTCTGATAGCAATGTAAGGACTCAGGTGAATGTTTGGGAAGTTTGTTGTCAAGGCCCCGGGCAAAGACACCTCTGTTGGGAAGTAATTCTTAAACACCACCACATTCTGCCCCTGCACTGTGGGCCATTCTAGTGAATGCACTGCATCCACTCCCAAGTTAACTTGTGGGAACCATTCCCCTGACTTCCCTTCTAATGAGAAGTATGCTAGCCAACTTTTCATTTCTGTGACCAAAATACCTGATACAAACAACTTGGAGGAGGAAATTGTTTTTCTCACAGTTTCAAAGATATTAGTTCATGGTTGACTGCCTCCACTTCTCTGAGCCTGATGTGAGGCAGAACATCATGGCAAATGGGCATGGCAGAGGAAAACTGTTCAGTTCATGGAAGCTGGGAAGCAGAGAGAGGAAGAAGAGCCAGGGACAAGATATAGTCCCGAAGGGCTCTCCCCCAGAGACATACCTCCTCCAACCCTGCCTTACCTGCCTACAGTTTCCATACCTCCCAATAATCTGTTCAGCTATCAGTGGATTAATCCACTGATGAAGTCAAAGCCCTCATCATCCAATCACTTCCCAAAAGCTCCATATCTGAACATTGCTGCACTGAGGACCAAGTCTTCAACACATGAGCTCTTGGGGAACATTCCAGATCCAAACCATACAGGAAATATGGCACTTAATTTTATTAGCACATCCCAGTTGATTCATCCCAGAATTCAAATCCTTGAAGAAAGATCCATGAGCAACTTGCCATAGGGGAAAAATGAGACTGAGAGAATTCCAAGGTTTCCTTGCAAAAACAGAATTTGAAAAATGGAAAGTGAAGAAACTACCTAGCAGGGACAGAGATGAATGACATTTGATTTACTGCTGATATAGGGATGTTTTCCTCTGAGGACTTTTTGTATATTTTTCTCCCATAACTGGTAAATTGTAAATTGTTCTCCCATAACTCCACCAAACCACAGACCTTCCTCTAACTCAGTCATAAACTAAGCTTCTACCCCCATATTAATAATATTATAGATGGTTCATTGATTAGTTACCCTTTCAGTCATAAGCAGCCTGAGAACAAGAACTGGCTCCTTTTATATCACTTCTTCACAGCACTGAATTCCATCATAGATACTTAGTTGTAAGACCCTAGGATAAAAATACCTAGTTATCTGATGGCATACTGTGTTTCCTTAATTTCCTACTACCCTTAATAGGCCCTTTTCAAAAGAGAGAGGTTTTGATTAGTTAGGAATTCTGACTGTAGATCTTTAATTCTCATGTAATTGAGGCTTCTGTTGCTTTGCAGAGTAGATATGTGAGGTATTTTGAAAAAGTGAAAAGTGACTACAAGTGGGATCTACCTCTAAGACAAAATTTCATTATAAAAAAATTCATCATTTATTCAATTCATGGTAAGTGCTTTATTTATAATTGACGGGTTGGGTAGGAGGCCAGTGTTCCCACTACTTGGGAACATAGTTATATACACAGATTATTCTAACCCATCGCTGTATTTTTACATTTCTTCACACATGAACTCCTCCCCCTGGAATTGTCCATTTTGACAGGCAGTGAGTAGTCACATTGACAACTCTTAGATGTCCCTCTTCTTCCCGTTCCTATCACCAGTTTGGAGAGAGAGGGCTCTATCTCTTCCCTTCACTTCCCTTATCTTCTCTCCTGTTCTTTTTGCTCCCTTGGCCTCAGCCCAGAGTAGACTTTTCAAGGCAGATCCTTTGGTGGAGGGAAGAAGGTCCTGTGAGCACTCAAGACTACTTCTTTCCCATACCCACCTCTGTGTCAGTTTCATCTTGGCAGAGGTATCCCCATACCTACTCCTTTCAGAGACCATTTTTTCTTATCACCAGAGTCTTTCCCTTTCTCCTCTCTCCTCTTCCTATAACCCTCACCCCCAGCATCTCCATAAAGATGTCTTAAATACCTGATCAGTAAATATTTATTTATTTATTGTCATATAACTATTGAGTACCTGTTTGGGGCCAGGTCCTGTGCTAGTGTTCCCTGCCTTTAAGGAGTCCCTGCGTGGTTGACAGAGGAAAGAAATAAGAATATAAAGAGCAGACCACAGTGTTAGAATACACAGAGATGGGATGAGTGTTTAGAAAAGCTTCCTAAGGGGAAGCACTTGGCTCCCTTCTACATGAAGCTAGATGAAAATGAAAAGGATTGGGAGAAAGTGGGGAGAGTGTCTTCTAACCCCCTATCTGCTACCAAGTATTACCAGGAAGAACAATCCTTACCAACTTCCCAAGAACCAACTACTTGACTGCTTCTGGAATGCAAGGAGAGAGAAGCTATGGCTGAAAACCACCATTACCCAGGGAAGTTGGGAAAATTGTTTAGATTATCCATCTCTGGGATGTAAAAAATGACAGGAAGCAGGGAGAGGAATGGGCTCCAACCCACAACTCTTTCTTCACCCCCTCCTGTGCTTCCCCTGCACAGTTCACTTTCAGGGGAGATGGAAAAACAGGGGATGGAACCTTACCACTCCACTGCCAGGGAGGCGGCAAGGGGGCAATGCTTCTGAAACTTTCAAGCAAAACTCTTAAACCAGCCAGATCAAAGACCATAGGCAGGTACCAAGTGCTGGCAGGGTCCTAGCATCCACCGATACAGCCTAGGCTGTAGTCTGGCCTTCTGAGAAATCACAAAACAAGATCTAATAATACTTTATTTGACATTTTGTCCAATTTATCAGAAATGAAAGAAGTCTTTGACATATAAATAAAAACTGCAGAGATATTGTTCATTAAAATATAAAATGTTTTTTTTTTCAAATTATTTACAGTTTTACTTCCCCCAGGAATTTGGATGGATTACCACAAACAAATACATAGGTTTCTGGCTTTTGAAAGCAAACTCAATGTTCCTATGGAAATTTTTGATTTATGTTCCAAATAAGCACACTGCAAGCTCTCTTGAAACCCAGCCTGTCCTAACAGGAGACTGTCTGGGTACATGAATGAGCAACTGTTTGGGAAAAGACTTTTAGACTGCCAAGTCCACCATGACTGCTTCATGGCACCTGTGAGGGACAGAGCTGTAGTGAAGCCTAAGACAGACCTAACTCAAAACCCCAACTGGAATCAGACATCACACAAGGAGAGATTCCAGGCTTATCCAACAGGTAGTAAAGATTGGGACAGCAGTGCCTCACTCCCCTTCCTTTCCACACTCAGTGGGACCCACAAAAAAGATGAAGACTAATTTTTTCTGCAGCATGAGAGGCAACACATTCTGCTGTGGGAGCCATTTCTTCCTGAGAAAATTTAGCTCTAACTACAAAGGGTCATGACAGCCTGTGTAATACCTGATTGTATACTCTGCCTTAATATCCTCTCTGTTATCAATGGGAATAACAGTATCTATACAAACCCTAGGAGTACTAAACTGTTCCACACAGGCAAGAGACATTAGTCTATGAAATTTTAATGATTTCTCCAATGTAAACAATGAGAATCATTTCTCAAAAATTTAAGCTTAAAAATATTTTTAATAAATTCTCAAATTTTATTTACTGCCTTAGTCTGATATTATAAGACTGGGACTTCTCTCTTAATAATGTTTTGAATTTTATTTAACCCCATGGAGACACTGTTTATTTAAAGCTATAAGGTACAGATCTGGAGAACAGAGGAACTAATCCAAATCTATAAGCACTGAAGGTGAAGTCTAGTGGGTTCAATGGGCCAAGATGAAATGGAGAACGTTAAAGTCAAACTTGAGATTCCTCATGGAGACTTCCAGATAGAAGCTCAAGATTATGACCTTAACTGGTCAGTATTGTATGGGTTTTATTTGTAGAACAGACCAATGGAGGCCTATATGGCAGAGCAAAATTCTTCCTGGACTCGTGTAAATACTGAGTTTAAACCTAACGAGATTAGTCTATTTTAAAATAAAAATAATCTTTGTGTAAGGAAAAGATGTGTGAAAAACTCTGAAATGAGTAATCTTTTGTCCAGAGCACCCTTCTAGAATTATCCTTACTTTTCATTGTCTTTAAGCTATTTTATAGCTCTTTTAAACTGTGTAAAAATGATAATAATACAAAAATAATTTTTCCATGCAAATGCAAATTAGTTGTATCAAGTGGAATACATCTATTTGTATATTCAGTACCTCATATTGATTAATGTGTAGTATTTTGAGCCAACTGTATGTAACATTTTATTGGTTTCTCATTTATTTTATGACTTAAATCCAAATTTTGACAAGTGTTTAAAAAAATTCAAGGTACATGGCAGTATTCTGGCAAAGGGGGGATAATACATTCATATTTGTATAATTACAAATATATAAAATTCTGAGGAATATATATTCATATTTGATTATACATGCAAACGAATAAGAAATTAATAGGAGTGATTATATATTTGGGACTGAGGAACTACATAGGTGAAGAGTGGGTGAGATGGAGACCTATCACTTCATGTTATTTTTTTAATTTTTATTTTTAAGTTATGCAGATACATTTGCATGAGTTTTTAATGTATGGGAATTTAAGGGCTCAAATCAATGTTCTTTACTTCTCATGTGATAAGCATTTGACTTAGTTTAGTTATACATTTTACTGATTTCTTATAGACATCAGTAGAAAGTCTGCAATAAGAATGGGACAGAGGGAACTGACTGAAAAAAACATGATTTCTAAGGACACATTGATAACATGGTGTTAATGACACGCTTAAACGAAAACAGAATATGAATTGAGTAATTGAGAATGATTAATATATGACTATTAGATTATTTGTCAAAGTGAAATATGTAGGATGAAAGGAAGGGGAAAAAATCAATTGGAGGCTTCAGAAACCAAGTCTTTAAGGAAATGCTGAAGGAAGTGGGTCATTTGAACCAGAAAAGAGGGAAATAAGATTATTTATCTGTAGGGGCTGAGATTGTGGCTCAGCAGTAGAGCGCTCCCCTAGAATGAGCAGGGCCTGGGTTCGATCCTCAGCACCACATAAAAATAATGGGTATTGTGTCTATCTACACCTAAAAAATAAATATTTTTTTAAAAAGATCATTTATCTGTAAATATGTACTAAACTTCACAGGAATGTTTGCATATAAATCTATATTTTCGTAGAGTTTGCTGTAGGAAATGGACTTAAAATAGAACAACAGGAATGTAGACATTTATTATTTAAAAACATTATGATTAGAAGTCTGAAGAAAGCAATGCATTAGCAAAAAGGGTTGCAAATCACCTTCCCTAATTCTTTTTTTACAGAAAGGTAAGCAATGGGATTCTAATTCTTAGAAGCTGAACTACACATATTTTTTTCCTCTTTTTCTCTAATCTTAATAAATTCTGCTTTAGGAGACAGAATTGAGCTTGAATACTTGTTTTTCAAAACAAAATTCATGCAAGACCAAATGATCCAATATCACTATTATGGTAGCTTGGAAAACTTTTTCTCTTTTTAATCCATAAAGTTAATTGGCACGACATTACTCTTTGTTCTAACCAGCATATCTTTTTACTTTTATTCAGGTGTTGGAAAAGGCAATGGAACTGATCTAAAAATACATATAGTAATGCATCGGAAGACTGTCTTTTCTTCTAGTTCCAGTAACTGTAGGGTAAGAGAAAGCAATGATCCAAAAATTCTGGTGTTTATTTTAAAGCTCAATGTCAAATCAGCCTGTTGACCTGCCCAAATCATCACTCACCACAGAGAGATGCTCTGTTGCTTTCTGGTTACCACCTAACCTGGTGCTTGGTTTGGATGCAAATTAGAAATAAGTGTACTTTTTCAGAGCATTTTCCAGAATTTTAGCCAGTTCAGAGAGTTGTTTTGCTTTTACTTTTCCATAAATGCTAAACATACTCCAAGAAATCTGTCAAGATTTGAATTCATCTATCTGGTCAGCTTTTGCCATCTTATCTTCTTGGTAATTTTATCTTTTATTGTATAGAACTGATTCTCAAAATTTAGTATGACTGGGAGCTTGTAAAGAGGCACATTTTTTTAGATTGTACCTCCAAAGTATGATTCAGGAAATCTGGAAGGGGCCCAGAAATTAGCAATGTCCCCAGTAATTCTAACTCACACATTCTATGGGGTGGCATCCTGAGAGTATACAAGAGTATATGGAGTACACAGAAACTTCTTTACCCAAAGCAATGGGGGCTGAAAGGCAAGGTTAAGCTAAAATGTAAAATAAATTTAAGATTATAGACATTTTCTGAAACAATAAGAAAGTTCCATTTGTGGATCTAAGAACATAAACTTTTAGAATCCCCTCCTAGGTTCTTGTTTCAAGTTCTTTTACCAACATTATTACCCTTTCCAACCCTACTTTAAAAAAATTTTTTTTGTCCTCCCCTCACTGGGGGTATTCACCTAGGCCTAATCCTTAGCTTTCTGTTCTTTGCAAATTCTCTATTTTTTATAATAATTATTAATGCATATTAATTGTAAAAATTGGTGAGTTTCATTGTGACATTTCTACATATGCATATATGGTATTTTTATCATGTCCACCCTCTCTTCAACTCTCTCTTCCCTTCCTCTCTTCCCCTTCTCCCTCTGGTTTCCTTTTCTAATAGTCACTCTTCTATTTTCAGGTCACCTTTTTTTTTCTTTTCTAGTTTTCACATATGAAAGAAAACATGTGATACTTGATACTTGTTTTTCTGTCTGGCTTATTTCACTTAAATGATATCCTCTAGTTCCGTTCATTTTCCTGCTTATAACATGAGTTCATTCTTCTTTATTACTGAATAATACTCCATTGCGTATATATACCACATGTTCTTTAACCATTTATCTGTTGATAGGCACGTAGGTAGATTCCATAGCTTGGCTATTGTGTATAGTGATTCGGTAAACATGGGTATGCAGGTATCTCTTTGTATGCTGACTTTATTTCCTTCTGATATATACTCAGGAGTGGGATAGCCAGGTCTCTTTTTAGTTTTTTGAGGAACCTCCATACTGATTTCCATAGTAGCTGTATGTGTGTTCAGCTCTACTAACAATCTGTGTATTCCTTTTTCTTCCTATCCTCACCAGCATTAATTTTTTGTATTTTTCATAATAACCACTCTGACTGAAGTGAGATGGAATTTCAATGTAGTTTGGATTTGCATTTCAGTGATAGCTAAAGATTATGAGTACTTTTCATATATTTATTGGCCATTTGTACTTCTTTTGAGAAGTATCAACCTCATTTGCCCATTTTTAAAGTTGAATTACTTGACCTTTTAAGTTTTTTGAGTTCTTTATGTATTCTGGTACTAATCTTCTGTCAGGTGAAAAGCTACTAAATACTTTCTTCCACTATATAGGTTATTTCTTCACTCTGTTGATTGTTTCCTGGCCATGCAGAAGTTTCTTATGTTGATGCAATCTCATTTGTCAATTCTTCCCTTTGTTTCCTGAGATATTATAATCCTATTCAGGAAATCATTGTCTATACCAATCTCTCAGTGTTTCCCCTATGCTTTTCCTTTAGTAGTTTCAAAGTTTCAGGTCTTATGTTAAGGTCTTTGGTCTATTTTTAGTTGATTTTTATACAGGATAAGATAGGGGTCTAGTTTCAATCTTCTGTTCTTGTTAAAGTAAAGAATAACAACAAAAAAACCTAGGAATTAATAGAATCAAGGAAGTTTTTTGGTTATCTGATAAGTGGATATTCAGTTTTCCAAGCACCATTTGTTGAAGAGTCTGTCTTTTCTTCAACTTACATTTTTAACATCTTTGTTGAGAATCAGATGGCTGTAGAGGCATGGCTTTATTTCTGAGTTCCTTATTCTATTACATTGGTCTATATGTCTTTTTTATGTCAATACCATGCCATACAGTGGCTCTATATTTTGAGATCAGATATTGTGTTGCTTCCAGCATTGTTCTTTTTGCTCAAGATTGTTTTGTCCATTCATAGTCTTTTGAACTTCCAAATGAATTTTAATGTTGTTGTTTTTTTTTCCAGTTCTGTGAAGAATGTCTTTTTTTTTTCTTTTTCTGTCATTGGAATTTTGATGGGGATTGCATTGAATTTGTAGATGATTTTGGCAGTGTGGTCGTTTTAACAATATTACTTCTTCCAATCCATGAACATAGGATGTCTTTTCATCTTCTAATGTCTTCTTCAATTTCTTTCTTCAATGTTTTATAATTTTCATTGTAGAGGGCTTTTCCCATTTGGTTAGGTTTATTTCTAGGGTTTTCTTCTTTTTGTTTTCCTTTGAGGCTATTATACATGGGATTGTTTTCTTGATTTCTTTCTCAACAAGTTCATTATTGGTGTATAGAAAAGCTACTGATTTTTTAATGTTGATTTTGTCTCCTATTACTTTGCTGGATTGTTTATTAGTTCTAAGAACCTTTTAGTGGAGTATTCCAAGTATAGAATCATATCATATGTAAAGAGTAGTGATGTAACTTCCTCCTTTCCTGTTTGTATCCCTTTTATTTCTTTCTCTTTCCTAATTGCTCTTGATAAAATTTCAAGTACTACATTGAATAAGAGCAGTGATAGTATATACCCTTTTCTTGTTCCTCATGTTAGAGGAAGTGTTTTCAGTTCTTCTCTATATAGTATAATGTTGTCTATTGGTTTGTCATATTTTGAGGTATGGTCCTTCTATTGCTATCTTATTCAGGGCTTTCTTAATGAAGGGCTGTTGAATTTTATTGAAGGTTTTCTCTGCATCTGTTGAGATGGTCATGTGATTTTTTTATCCCTGACTCTATTTATGTGCTGTTTAATATTTATTGATTTGCATATTTGAACCAATCTTGCAACCCAAAAATGAAATCAGTTTGATCATGGTATATGACCTTATTAATGTGCTGTTAAATTCAATTTGCAAGTATTTTATTGAAGATTTTGCATTATCAGGGATACTGGTTTATAGTTTCCTTTTTGTTGTTGTATTGTGTCCTTCTCATGTTTTGGTAGCAGGGTAATACTTACTGGTTTCATAGAATGGGTTTGAAAGGGATCCTTACCTTCCTATTTTATGGAATATTTTGAGGAACATTGGTATTAGTTCTTCTTTAAAAGTCTGGTGAAATTCAGCAGTAGATCTGTCCAGGCCTGAGCTTTTTGTTGTTTGGAGACTTTTTACTCCTACTCAAACTCACTGCTTATTATTGATTTACTTATATCCTTTGATTCAATTTTGATAGGCCATATGTGTCCAGAAATTTGTCCATTCATCTAGATTTTCCAATTTGTTGGCATTTAGTTTTCAAAATATTGCTTAATGACCCTCTGGATTCAGTGTTGTAACATCACCTTTTCCCCTCTAATTTTACTTACTTCAGCATTCTTACTCTTTCTTTTGGTTACTTTAGTTAAGGGTTTGTCAATTTTGTTTATCTTTCAAAAATCAACTTTTTTTTTCTGTTTAATTTTTTTATACTTTATTCCTTGTATCAATAGGTTAAGAAAGTAAAATTTTCCCAGGTACTGAYTTATAGATACTATTTATAAGTAGAATCAAAAAGCTCAGTTTCACAAAYAGTAACATTCAGTGATCTCTTTAAATGCRATTTTAATCCTTATTTTAAGCTAAGGGCAATAATTTAATGCAGTAAGTTAAATTCACACAAAACCTGTATACTGTGAACTACAAAAGTGGTTCTTGTAGCTACATACAGTTTTAGTCAACTACATATTTCCAAAAGTACTTACAAATATGTTAAAAAAACACTACCCCAAATGCTTATCCTACCATTAGCTCATTAAACATTGCCATTCCTGCTCCTGAAAGTAGATGATTGGGAAAATGAGTTCTAAAACTTAAAAAGTAACCTAAGTCCAAAAGATTTTAAATCAAAAAAGTCTTTCAACATGGAAGCATCAACATGAAACTTTTTAAGTTTCTAAAAAAATTAAAAAATCACTCTTTAGAAAATATTAAAACAAATTATCATTTAAGACACATAAACATTCTTACAAAAACTTGTAGTTTCAAATATTATCTCCTTAAAAGAAAACCAGTTCACTATCTTTAATAACATATCAGACCACTGTTGTTTAAAAACTTCAGAATATGTAAGGCATATGTCTCAGCTGTCATAGTCAAAATGACACTTAGATTTCACATATTAAACAGCTATAGTATAGCTTATAATGGCACAAATATACCTAACACATAAATACTACTTCATCCTTTAGATAGTCAAAAGTCAGAAGGAACTGCATAATTTGTAAGGTACTTTAACTTACATGTAGTCATTAAACTCAGTAAGTAATTCAAGTATAATCATGTAAAGGCAGGCAATTAAAGGCTCAAGGATCACTCTAAAATCAAAGACATGAAAATAAAGGCTGAAAACTTTGTTTCTCCATCTTTCATTTACATACCTAGATATTAGGACATTACTAAACAAAATACACAATTATTATATATGATTTCCACAGAATATAATGAAATTTCATGAAGTACAAAAATTATCAAGATCCGTAGTTTGCTTCATCAAATGCTTTTCTAGCTCGTTTCAATTCTTCATTCATGGTAAGCAAGTCTTTAACCCTAGCAAACTTCCTTGGGTCCTTTYGAATCAAGAAGACGATATCTTCAACTTGTACTCGAYYTTGTCTTCCAATTGACATTGCCTTGTGAGTCATTTCAGTGATGAACTCTATGACAAGATCTTCAAGAATATCCACTGACTCAGTGTAAGGATTCTGGTCATCCCCAAACCCATACATCATACATCGTAGGTCTGGTCTTCTTCCTCATCTGCCATCCCACTAGCCCGCCAGCCCACAGCCCAAAAATCAACTCTTTCATCAATCCTTTGTTCTTTTGGTCTCTACTTCATTTGCAAATACTCTTTTCTTGGTTTCACTCATCCATTCCTCTTCTTTAAAATATCATTTGTTCTTTGAGCAGATATTTGAGCACCTTCTGTGTAGTAGATACAAGAAAGACAACAAGGGCAATCTCTATCCTAACAATTTAAAACAATAATCAATCATGATTTATCAAATGAGCTTTTTCACTGTTTCTGCAAATGCCACAATATACTTCCTCTCAGGTCATAAAATTTGATATTGTCTTTGATTCTTTATTTGCCTTGGCCCCCCAAATCCAATTAATCACCAATTCCTGCAGATTCTATTTTTGAAAATTCTCATTACTTTCTCTTCCTTTATGTTCCCACTGCCACTTCCAAGGTTTCTACAGTAGCCTTCATTCCCTTTCTCCTTATGCAATACAGTGTGTGGAGTTCTATAATATGTATCCGGAAATACTGATCTCATTTCAAAAAGCTGTAGGTAGAGAAGAAAACACACAGTATGTCTATGGTCATGCCAGGTAACATATTTGACTAAACAATTCTATCTGTGAAATAAAGATCACATCTAAGTGTTGTGAAAATTAGAATTACTAAATAAATGGCATAGATGATAATTATCAGGTCACCTTTTTTTAAAGAGAGAGAGAGAGAGAATTTTTTTTAATATTTATTTTTTAGTTTTTGGCGGACACAACATCTTTGTTTGGATGTGGTGCTGAGGATCGGATCCCGGCTGCATGCATGCCAGGCGAGCACGCTACCGCTTGAGCCACATCCCCAGCCCATCAGGTCACCTTTTGTCACACAGGAAATGACGCACTAGTTTTCTACAACTATACTCTTATTTCCCTGGCTCATGAGTGCTCAAGATATGATATCCCTAACATACCTAAGCTTATTTGTATCAATAACTTGACCTATAGACTCCATTTGAGTAGCATGGGTCATCCCCTCTGGCTCTTGGAACATGACTCTAATTTCTACTTCATATTTTTGCTGGTCTTTCCCCCCATGTTCAGACTATTCTTTTATCCCCATCTTTCCATGCCCAACTCAAGTTCTACCTCCTTGGTGAAGCTCTCTCATTCAATATCTCCTGTTCATACCCCTGTCTCCACAATGCTGAACAGAACACGCAATCTTCATATACAGCTTGATACTCAATTATTTATCGTTCTAGTATTGTTCCTTATATATACAACTCCTTGAAGGGACAGAATCTGTGCCTTCTGTATTTTTCAAAGGGACTAATATAGACCATTCTTAATGTGGATGCCATTATTATATGATGAAAAAATCACTAATGAAGAAATACTTAATATAGTTTCAAAGCTTCCCAGAAACTTGATCTATCTTTGGTCACTCCATCCATCAGCCAGCAATGGACAAGATCTTTGATAAAACATCTGCTATGCACTGTTTTTTGAATAACAATGCCAGCTTTAAAATTTGGCTTCATAGTGCATTCTTAGAAGAGATCTCAATATATGAAAATCAGATGATATACTTTAAACAGTCATGTTTATACTTGGTTAAACTCTAGTAGAAAATCAAATACTTTGCTCTCAACAGTGTCTCATTCTAACTCTCAAACAGGTAGGGATAGCTCAGTAGTATATCGCAGCTTCACAGAAATGATGATTAGCATTTACTTATACATGAAATGACTGGGCTATGAGACCAAGAGTACTTGATAAGTTTAGGAAGTCTGGGTAAGTGAAAACAAACTTCATTGTTATACTTATCTCATCATCAACTGGGTTCATGGTTCTGAATTTCATGTGTTTATTCACAGATATTTCATGACATTGAATCAGACAGAGTAATATTTATTATAATCAACAGTCCAGTTCTCTATGATGATGTGAAAGTACAGTTTTTCTCCACAGTGAGTAATCAAGAAACAATCTCTGCCATTGTTATTTTCTGGTCTTTTGAGTGATTTTTTCATTTGGAATTTCCTCTGCTACAATTCCCAACAGGGGAATTGATATCGATCAATGGCCAGGGTAGGGGAGAAAAACAACAAATCAAATCTACAACAAAAATTTGTGAAAGAAGAACATGTAACTTAAAGGTTTTCTTGCTCATTCTTTTTTCTAAATTCTATACAATTTACATATATTAATTTTAAAATAAGAAAAAGTACAAAAATCAAGATGGTAAAAAAGTCCTAAAGGTATGTTTTACTGCTAAACAGTGATCATATTTTTGTTTTATTTTTTTGAAGTGCATTGCTGTCAATAATGTACAAAATATTTTAAAGTGAGGGAGACTCTATCTTCCTCTGAATTGATTCATGATATAAGCAGTATGCATTAATCTAATATTTATGAAAATGATAATGCTTTCCATTGCCATTACTCTGAATATCATGAGTATATAGTATTATATCTGATTATTATTATTGTATCTGAGTATTAGTCTGTGCATAACAAATATCTATACCTTGCTAGTTTCATTTTACTATCAAATCATCAAATATAACTTCCAATAAGTAACTATGTTGGTAGATTTAGAATTTATTCCCTGTGCTCTTTTTTATCTCTTTTTTTCCCTGTTGGAAGAGAATTTATTAAATATTAAAATGGTAAATGTGTTGAAGCAAGTAACCTGGATATTTCTTGTTCTGATGGTTGCCCCTTGATTAATGGGGCCACTCTTGAGTTCTTGTTCAAGTAGCAGTCGCTGAGCAGAAACAGTAATGTAAAGCTCACTGGCCTGGGGGCCTGAGTAATATCCAGCTTTTGTGATTATTAAAAGCCATGACATGAAAGCACTTTTTAAAATATTTTATTATCATCAGTATTGGTGGTTAATTATTCAGTGTAGCTGTTCCTTCTTTAAATGAATATGTATTGTATTTTTCTCTAATTTGGTCTTGAGGTTTCTCTCTCTCTGAAGACTGGCTATAAATTCTAGCCTTCTTTTAATGAGGCTCCATGTTAAGTGGTTTTGGATGTTTACATTGGGTTTTTCACAGAATATTTCTTTATCCTGGGACATCCTTATGCTTAGGTGTCTGGTGACAAGGTGCCCCTCTCCCAGGAAACTTGTCTATATTGGCAAGCACCCCCAGGATTCATGTCTGACATGTCCAGATTATTGGCCACTCCCTAAGACAGCCCTGAGGAGAGGGTTAGATTCAGTTGTGTTGGTCAAGTAAAACAGAGAAGTCCACACAACAAAATACATGAAGTAACAGAAGCAGTTTTTTATTACTTACAGATCCCAGAGAGAAGAGTGAAGCACACCTTACAGTGCCAGAGGGAAGGTGGGAGCCAAGGACATGTTTGCTCAACCAGCAGAGAGGAGCAATAGAGAGAAAAAGAGACCTGAGGATCAAAGACTTTATTGGGGTCCAGAGTATATAGTTTTTCCTTGTAGTTTTTCCACAGGGAGATCTAATTGGAGTGGGCTTAAAGGAAACAAGTATAAGGTCCAAGAAGTCACACACTGTGACTGAGAAGTAATCTCTGTGGCATATCTGCACAGGTCCCCTGGAGTATGGGGGTCAGTGGGGCAAGTTAAGTGCATTGTGTCTAGCTGTCCCATAGGAAGGTGGTCACCAGGAGGTAGCTATGTAAGACAGATATCTGAATTGATTACATTGAACTGGGAGTAAGCAGAGAACTGGAAACTGTCAATAATAATGGAGCCCAGCTTCTCATATGAGAAAGTCTGACATTTAAAATGATTCCAAGGCAAAATATTTTAAGAATTCATTATGACATGTTTGCATATAAATAGGCATGGTCCTTGGTAGATTCTGTTTAGCACCATCTAATCCAGTTTAAAAGACCAGTGTGTAAATGTATAAGTATCTATCAAAAATACATTTTCTAGAAGGGAATTGCTATTATATAGTAATTCTTCATTTAACTTATTGAGGAACTGTCGAACTGTTTTCCACAGTGGCTTGCAGCATTTTATATTCCCACCAGGAATATATGAGGGACTCCAATTATCTGCATCCTTACCAATACTCTATTTTTTCTATTTTTGCTTTTTTTTTAATCAGTGATATTAGTGGTGTGAAGTGTTACCTTATTGACATTGTGACTAAGAATCAGTTAATGTACTTGCTGGCTGTTTGGATATATTCTCTGGATTATCTTTTTTGTTGATTTCATAATTAGTTATATATTCTGGATTTGAGACCTTCATCAGATATGTGATTTGAAAATATTCCTTTCATTCTGTGGCTTATGTTTTCACCCTGCTGATGGAGCCCTTTAATGCATAAAGGTTTTAAATTTTAATGAAGTTCAATTTACCTAATTTATTTCACTGCACTATTTTGGACCCTTATGTTTTCATTCAAAATACCAACAAAATAAAGATAATACATTTTCAACACTTAAAAAATACATTCCTCAAAATGTTTGATAGAAACAGAGAAAGCAACAGCATTCTTTTAAGCCTCCTTCTTTATATCTTAAGTGTATTGTCTTAGATTGTAGAGTGCTGAATACTTAATTGCTACTTTATTTAATAAACATATAAAGGAAGGAATTTTAATCCCTTCAGAAACATTAGTTTGGGGTATTAATTTTATTATGAAAATAACTTTCTTTTCTTTAACTATGTCTTTTTAGGATCTTCCTAAATACTATGACAACTGTTGTTTTTTTTTCTGGTTTCACACATCTTTTATAAAAAATAACAGGTAGGAATATAATGTAATCCAGTCAAAACAACTTAAGTTTCAATGTTTTGTATAAGGTGTAATGGCAAGTGTTTGCCACTGTTTTAAATTTAATTTACAGATTCCAAAAAATTCTTGAGTCATTCAAGTAGAATTCTTCGTTGCCTTGTTCATTTGAATGTGGTTATTTAAAAATACAGCTGTTCTTGAGATTCACAGTTGCATTAGCCTTAAGTTTTGTGCTACAGGATTCCAAGTTAAAATGTGTTACACTTGGATCTTGAGTGTGGTTATGGACTCCTCCTGTGAAGGTTAATGTGCATCCAGTACACTGAGCATAGCAGGCACTCAGTGATAATGGCTGACCACAAATTCTATGCTAAAGTGTAATTAAGTAAGCCAATTGATGATGCACACCTGTAATTTCAGTGACGTGGGAAGCTGAGGCAAGAGGAGTCCAAGTTCGAGGCCAGCCTCAGCAATTTAGCAAAACCCTATCTCAAAATAAAAATTGAAAAGAACTGGGGTAAAGAACCCCTGGGTTTAATCCCCAGTACTCAAAATAAATAAGTAATCAAGGGAGTGAGTTTAAAATCTGATTGGCAATTTCTATCTAGAGAAGTTATAAAACACCATTAAGTATTATGGAAGATGGTTAAAATAAGTCTCTCCCCCCCCATTTTTTTTTTTTTTTTGGCTGGGAATTGAACACAAGACCCTATGCATGCTAGGCAAGTGGCTATACCTGCTGACCTAATAGTCTCTCATTTAAACATGAGCTTCTAATATCTAAATTGGGAAACAGTTTTTTAAATTTATTAATTGGATTTGAAGATTATTATTCCAATGAAATTTGTACCACATCTGGAAACTCACTCCTGAGTCTAGAAGTTCTCCATTTTAAGCAGTATTTCCTGTGGTGATTAAAACAAAACATAAGATTTTAGGTAGTACCAAATTATCCAATACAAAAGGAAAAATAACTACTAAACTCATTCAGGTTATAATTGGAGAAGTGGTTGTGATTGTAGGTGATATGAATTGTCCTTTTATCCAATCCTACTCTTTCTTCAAATCTGAACTGGATATAATAATGCCTCAAGTCTAATAAGACAAGAGTAAATGGAATGTGTGGTCTATGCACTTGTGATACACACATTTAGATCTTGAGAGAGTGGACTTTGGATCTGAAGGAATATTTTTTAAAATATTTTTTTAGGTGTAGTTGGACACAATGCTTACAATGCTTTTATTCTATTTATTTATTTATTTTTATGTGGTGCTGAGGACCGAACCCAGGGCCTCTCACATGCTAGGTGAGCGCTCTACCGCTGAGCTACAACCCCAGCCCCCTGAAGGAATATTTTTACAAATATTTTTCCTGGGTGTATGCCAACAATGAACTTTGACTCCTAACATGAGTAAAGTCCCTCCAATAGAGAGAGTTGATTTTAATCTCATTTCCCGTTGTTCCTCAAAAGTAGTTCTTGCTAAAGGATACAGTTTTCCTTCAAACTGCCATATTTATATTATTAAAGAATTAACACATTAAATCACTTTTATTCTCACTTTATTATAAGTTTCTAAAGATAGCTATCACATTTGTTTTTATATACTGCCTGGTAAAGTTTTTTTTTTTTTTTAAATAGCTATAAAACTATTCTTTAACCAAAAATACCAACTTCATCATTTAAGAGACAATATTTTATTACTGGATTTTGTTACATATCTAGTATCTGCCTGATTTATGTCACTTACAGAAATTAAGATATTTTATTAAACTTAGATGTCATTAATTCCATGAGAGAAAATGTTAAAAGAATCAGTAACATATTGTTACTGAAGATTAAGGTATTTGGTCCCTTAACAGGGAGGTGGAAGGAGCCAACCAACATACACAAAAAAGGGTGGAGGTTCTAAACATGGCAAGTCTTTTCCAAAGTGCCAACAAGAGTACCCTACTAACTGCATGGCTTTTCTGTTAGCCCTAAAATAAAATGTAATGATTTTTATTCTATCCTTAGGCTTACTCTAACAAGAAATCAATTGGACAATCCCCATAAACCAAAAACATGGAAAATTTACCGTCCAGATTTTGCAGTAGAAGTGTATTTTGATGAAACAACCCAAAATTAATGCTATATCTGGTATCTGATTAAATACAGTTCCCCTTCTCAGACTGAATCATCTTCTTTCCAATCTCTAATACATTTTTTGTGTATTTTTTCTTCTAAACCTATGTCCTTGCTGGTATGTGTATGTGTATATATACAGATATGTATATACATATTCCTAAGAAATCTATTAAATACAGGTAAAATGTCAATGGTGATTTCTTTTTTGAAGGAATATACTTATAAGTTTCTATCTTGTACTTAGATGAAATCAGGACACAGTACACAGGAACATTAGGTATTATTTTGAGGAACTTTGAAATAACAGACCCTTCACATTAGAATAACTGAGCTCTTTAAAATTGATCCCACCAGTATCCACATACTTATACATTTTTGGACAATTATTTGTTCTCTGATTTTACATTTACGATTTCATATTTCTTAGAAAACTATTTCTATTTTGTGCCTCTATTTGATTCACAAACTATCTATAAACATAAAAAAAAAGTTGACAACAAGAGTTTTGAACTCAGAGATGTTTCAAGCACCAGCCCCTCACCTCAAACACAATTCTCTTCCTTGTTCCAAGCCCTGCACAGGTAGCTTATGGGACAGGCTCCCTTTAATTACACACACACACACACACACACACACACACACACACACACACACACGGAGAGTGAGAGGGCCTTGGTAAACACAAAGGATAAAAAGCCCTCAGTAACTTCTGCTTTGAGTAACATCATAAGCGAAGTCAAAAGAAATATTGAGTAATCTAGATTTATTTTAAAACCTACCACCTCTGCTCACAACCAACTTCACCAAGCTGGGGGAACTCTGTGAAGGAAAATCACCTTTTAGCTACACACACTGGTTAGACCTATGTCCACAGGGATCATTCTCTCTTTGAGGCTGTTATTTTACGCTAAGCACCTTCCTTTGCACTGTATCCTGAGGCTATGATTGTCTTTGAAAGAGTCCTATTTTGACTTTATCGAAATTACCCTTATTTGAATTTTTTTTATTGGCAAGGTTCTCAACAATCTAGACCATGTTGAATTCATCAGGAAATAAAAAGGTAGCAATTAATAAAGCCAGTGTCTCTGCTAAAACACAGTAGAATCATGCATGGCTTAACAAGGAATGTTCTAAGGACAGCATCATTTGGCAATTCCAGCACTGTGCAACATTATAGTGTGTTTGCATAAACTAAGCCAACCCCCACAGTATCACTAAGCAATGTCTTATGGGACCACCAATGAATAGGTGGTCCCTCACTGACATGTCATTATGTAGGGCATGGCTATATAACTCATTCTTGAAAGACTATACAAAAAGCACACAGTAAAAAAGTTTGTGAAAATAGAAGAGTTGGGGTTTGGAGCAGTCCACTCCAACTAAACAACTTTGTTGTAATAAGCACACGAACCAGTTGGATTACCTAGGGCAGCAACTCAAAAGTGTGGAATCTATGATAGTAGGTTTTTTTTTCTTTTTTTTCCATGGAAATATAACAAGAAGGGCTATGAAACTGGACACAGTGGCACACGCCTGTAATCCCAGTGGCTCAGGAGGCTGAGGCAGGAGATCGCAAGTTCAGAGCCAGCCACAGCAATGGCAAGTCTCTAAGCAACTCAGTGAGACCCTGTTTCTAAATAAAATACAAAGTAGGGCTGGGGATATGGCTCAGTGGTCAAGTGCCCCAGAGTTCAATCCCCAGTAACCCCCCGCCAACGCAAAAAAAAAAAAAAAAAAAGGGAAGGGCTGTGAATGCCAAAGTGACACGGATGGGAATAAAGCTCTGAACTCTATAGCAGGCACAAAAGAATGCAACTTGGACAAGCCAAAAGGCTGCAAAGCTGCTGTGTGGCCTGGCTGCCCTGTTTCTCCCCTAAGTGTCCCAAAACAAGGTTTCCAATAGCCAATGCTGTAGTCCAACTATAGACCTTTTCCATTTCTCCTCCTAATCTGGCTTCTTGTGAAGGAAAAGACCACAAAGCATGTTTTCAAGTTCCTTGCATGTTATTGCTGACATCATTCCCTGTAATTTGAGTTACAGAAGCATGGTTATGGCAGAATAGGTTGCATAATATTTCATTTTAAATTTCAGCAGCAATAATTCAGAAAACAGATTGTTGATAGATTTAGGCAAAGGGGCGGTGGGGAGGCAGGGTAGGGGGAGCTAATTCGGTGAAGCCTTTCTCTAATACTGGCAATGAGGGAAGAAAACAAAATTTTAAGAACCTTGCTGTTTGAACTATAACCTAATCCTCCAGGACTCATCAAAATTTTTGGCAGTTATGCATTGCCACACAATTCTGGTTTTCTCTTGGGGTATCGCTTTCTTAGAACTCAAAGTGAATCATTCTTCAAAGAACCTAAGAAATGTATCAGAATGAGACTAATTTTCTTAAGTAGATTTTACTAACTTGGAATAGAATTATCCAAAACTTAATAGCAAGAAATTTAACTGTTTTTTAAAATGGGGGCTGCAAAAGGGAGAGAGTGAATTCTAGAGGGCCGTAACTGCAGCAGGTTCAGGCTCCATATGTTTTTGTCAACTATCCTACAGTAAATTACTTTGCATCTAAAATCCTGCAGATGAAAAATGCCTGCTACAATAAAACCATCACCTGGAAATATTACTGTACGTAACATTACTATACGTAACATTACTATACGTAACTCCTTAACAATCCTAACTGTTGGGCTGGAGATGTGGCTCAGCGGTAGCGCGCTCGCCTGGCATGCGTGCGGCCTGGGTTCGATCCTCAGCACCACATACAAACAAAGATGTTGTGTCTGCCGATAACTAAAAAATAAAATATTAAAAAAAAAAAAAAAAAAACAATCCTAACTGTTGATTCTCAGCATAGACATAAAGTACTTAAATGAAACATCATCAACTCACATTAGGTAAATAATTTAATGACAGAACACTCAAATTTAACACAGTATTTCAAGTTATTATATTTTTGTCTGGAGTACAGATCTGAAATGGTACACACTGTACCCAAATATTGAATCACAAATTAAACAAATAGAAAGAAAAATAAATTCTCCAGACTTAGGTTTCCATTCTCACTTCCACTTGCTGCACACTATTTCTATGGAAGATGTTTAGTTAAAACTTGAATGGACAACTCATGAGAAGATCTACTGCCAAATGAGCTAACATGGACTAGTTCCTGGGCACTGAGGAAGGAGGCTCTGATTAGAAGCCAGTCCCATGTTCTGTTCAGATGAAGTGCCATTCAGCAGCTACTGAGCATTTAATATATAGAGAAAAGTAGAAAAAAAATGTTTTTTTTTTCCATAAAGAAAAAGCCAATGGAGGATCAGCTCTAGCTCTGTAGCACATCAGGCATGACAAGCATCCGCACCCCAAATGTCCCTGGCTCTCCACCCTGCCCATTTGGTAGCACCTTGATTCCCTGACCCTGTTCTCCTGACACCATGGCTAAGAGTTGCCACAGGCTTGTCTGAGAGCAGAAAGCCGAAGGAAACAGGAGGTGTTGCCCAGCATTTACATTCTGCCCACAAGGACAGACACACCAGGTAAGACTCGTTAAAATTGTCAGCCTGCCTGACTTCTGCTCTATAGGCTGTCTAAGAACACGTCTTACTGAGAGTGGCCCTGCTGGTCTTGGAGTAGCACGGAAGATAAGGCTGACTTTAGTTAGGTCATTAAGAATGACCCTGTTAGATCACAGCTGCCCATCCCAAATCTATGGAGAGCAGATGAACTGTGGGCTTTGTTCTGGTTGGACCCTATATTACATACCACCTAGTTTAATAAAATTGCTTTTCTTATGTTACACTTCTTTGTAAATTCACACCCCATTAAAATTTAAACTGCCAGCCCCAAATGCAAAAGGCTCCAACACTGAAAAAGCATGGCAAGCAGTTGTGGATTCTGAGGTAAACTTCAAGATGGGTCAGTCCTGCCATCATTCACTGTGAAATCTAAGCACTAAGCTCTTTCCAGTTCTGAGAGAACAGGGCTTCACCCATATACACATTTACTTGATCACCAAACAGGGATCAAAGGCTTCTTTTGACTTTGGCACTCTCTGTTCCCTAGAAGGCGAAATCCGATTGGTGGGACAGAGAGGACAACGTGGTCCAAAGTGGATCAACAGCCCCGAATCTGGGCCAATAGAACACCCATAATTCCACCCAGGCCAGGACCCAGAGACAGAATTAGTTTAAGAGCTGCTATCAGCCATTATCAAACAGCACAGCCCAGCAGAGCCCATCTCCGGGCCCTTTCCTTCATCTACAGCCCAGCACAGGGAAAGCTCTTTGGGAAAGGAGAAAAAGGGAAGCTTCCCAAAGGCCTGATCTTCTAGGGATACACCCAGCAACATAGTCAAGTGTGGAATATGAGCCCACCTAGAAAATGAATGGCACTATTTTAAGAGTAAAGCTTCTTGGGAAAATCCAAGATACCTACTCTGAAACTTGAGTAAGAATATGGAAACCACACCAGTATGCAGGTATAGTCTATTAAAAATCTAGATGGATATTTTAGTTTTCAGGTACCATGTGAAAACTTGAACCTCAGTACACAGGTTCAGCAGACTTTAAAGTCCCTACAACTAGAATGGTTTAAGCAATCATTTATAACCATTTAGTGAAAAATTGTCACCTCTGGGTTTTCTGATATTTTAAATTAAACATGAAACCAATTTCTCTCAATATATAACTATCCAAAATGCACATATATGGATTCATGAAGTAATAATGCCCTAATAAAACTATATTCAGCCTTTCAAATTAGGTTCATTGGGCCATCAGCCACCCTGCATATTCTATCAAGGGTAAGAACAACACAATTGGGGAGAAAATATATGATGTAAGGTATACATCTTTCCATAAAGTTTAAGACGTAGGGTAGAAGAAGGGAACACAAAAACAAAATTCCCAAATATTCAAAATAATTCCACATTGTTCTCATACTCCGTGAAACCCTGAGATGAACAGGAGTCCTCAAACGCCTGTGCCTAGATCCAGGCCCACCAGGACACTTCAATATGTTTCCAGCTGGCTCATCATCAACTTCCTGCTGTATTCATAGGCCAAAAATAGTGCCCCGTTGGCAGGGAATGCACGAATCATAGTAGGTTTCAGTCCAGAATATAAGGCTGTTATTCCTAGAAGACAAAAGGGCAATCAAAGATTGTGACAATTCCCCCTCGGGAATACTCCATGCAGCTGCATAGAATAGGCACACTTGTACTCACAAATCCAAACAATAGCATTAAAACCCCACAAGTAGCAGGAGGACTTACATCCAGGTTTTCCTATATAGACTAACAGAAACTAGATAAGGATCAAGTCTCTTGGCAAAGCTGATTGTTGCTGAGGTAACATAAACCAATTCAATACCTGATTAATGCCTAGAAGACAGAGGGCAGAGCTGATCCTAAGATGGGGGGCAGACAGAAGCAACTCTGGGGCCAAAGATGGCATCTAGAGCACCAACACTGAGATCAGAGACCTATTTCTAGTATTAGCACTGCCCAGCATGTTTATGAAGACTGAATTACATAAAGGAAGCAGGTGTACTTTGTAAAATTATTATAAAGTGTCATGCAAATTTTCAGGAAGGTAAGTATGAGTAATATACAAGATGTCTGTACTCTATTTGGGATATGAATTAAATTTGTGTTACTACTCTTTCCCTTTTAAAAATCAAAACAGAAGTTCATAACCCAAGTTTGAAGATGTACAGTGGATACTAGAAAAACAGGTCTTTACAAACAGGTTGTATAAAGCTGGCTTTATACAAGCATTACTAATCTTTATTCTCCTACATAACTCTAAAAATTGATAGTAAATCACCTTCAGAAGTTGCTCAGTCCATTTCTGATTCCAGAAGTCTTAGCATTAAGGATGCTGGACATTCTTTTCAAGCCCTTAGTGGTCGTGTTAGAGATTATCTTCTGTAATATCTGTATTATATAGAGCAGGTGGTGCTAACTTCAGAGCATTCGCCCCCTTGGACAAAGTCCACATCTTAAAAATTCCCTCCAAGCTATTTAGACAAAGAATCCTGACAGGTACCTGCCCAAGGGATTAGGAAAAAGAATTGTGAACATTCTTGAGAATAATGAAAATAAGCTAAAGAAAGGAGTCTGGAAACAGAAAGCTACAAATGTGGATTAATATACAGTGCTAGAAAAAGGATAAGAGGCAGGGAGAAGAGGGCAATTAAACATCTGATCAAACCTCCGCAAGACAGTATTAAAGCAAGTGATCACTCTATATATACACCTACTCTGTTTCTAAAACTAGTTGACTCACCTTTCTGTGTTTTTTTTTTTTTTTTATATACTAGGGATTGAACCCAGGGGGGCACTTAACTACTGAGCTACATCCCCAATTTGATACAGGGTCTCACTAAATTTCTGGGACTGGCCTTGAGCTTGCAATCTTCCTGCCTGAGCCTCTCCAGTCACTGGGATCATAGGCATGTGCCACCGTACCAGGCTCACCTTCATTTTTCACAACACCTAGAAAGGTTCCGATAAATCCTGCCTGTTTTCCAGACATGGAAAGAACTTGAATTCTGGATTTTATACAATCCACTGGGTATACAGCAAGCCACAGGCAAATTCCACCAATTCCACCACTTAACATCAAAGGCACAGGGCCTAGAGAAGAAAAACAGCAAATGGTATTTGATCTCAAGAACAGCCATATGATATTTCCAGAAACCAGTGAAAATAAGTGATTTCCCCATGGGAAAAATAACCTCTGCATTTCTTCACCCCCTAAAATGGATCCAGAACAATTAATGAATGAAATTCCAGTAAAGCAGTTTGAGATGTGCTGCTTCTGCTTCAGCCCCTGTCTTGAGGAAATTACCAAACCTGGGGAAAGGGCATGGGCAATCATCTGCTGCCATGTTACTTTTCAGCACCCAGAAACTTCTAGTGCCAGATGGGTTCCCCAAATGGAGGTGCATTGAACAGATAATCCCCGGAAACCACACCACCATGGAGCAGCCTCCACATACCCAAATGCTGTTAATGCAAACACATTTACCTAATTCATCTTTTGATCTCCCTGATGCAAAAAACGACCGGCTCAGCTCATAGCCACCGAAGAAGAAGAAATAGCCCGGTACTTCTCGAAGTAAAGTGCTTGAGAGTCCATGGTAGAAGCCCAAAGGGCCATCCTTTCTAAGTATAGTCTTCACAACAGACCAAACTGTACTGGGAGGGAACAGTGAGTGACAGTTACTGCCAGCAGGAAGGATGGGAGAACAAGGACATTCATACCCAATTAACAGAACTGATCAAGCACAAGGAAGGAAGCAGTTGATTTTGTAAAGTGGAATCAAGAATTCTGAAAATAAAAGGTATCCTCCTATGGAATAAAGAATCTCAGAAGCATCTCAGAGAAGCAGACTGTTATTATCAGGTTCATTAAGTTGTTATGGTTAAACATAATTTATTAAAATGAATGCCAAAATTTTTAGAAGTCACATTATCAAATATATATATAAGAAAGCTACTACCTATATTTTCAGAAGTAAATAAGTGAAACCTAAAATTATAATTAGGAGTCCTCCAAACTCAACAAGAATAAAATGGTATTGTCTTTGATCAGTCCCTTACCTCCTTTGATCCATATCTCTTCAATATTTCTGCTATTTTTTAGGAGAATTTGTTCAAGCATTTACACATTGTTTTGTTTTAATGCCAAGGAGTAAATGGTTACTTGAAGGCAAGATGAAAGAAATTCTAAGAGCTGAGCTATAGCCCCTGTGATGCAAAAAGCATCCAGAATTGATTCTTGAGAGCAGCAGAGGTACAGGGAACTCCTTTTAAGCAGACCAGAGTCCTACTCCTGGAGAGGCCAGGACACTTCTGATCCACAGACTCCTCTTCATGATGGGTTGTACCATAGCAGGTTTTATCCTCGGGAAAAAGTCATACTCTGTGTAACTTAGAGAATCTTCTCCTTCCTTTTTCTAGAGAGCAAGGGACTTGGCTTGAGGAGCTCAAGGATCAAGCCCCCAAGGTATCAAGGCCACATCACTCTGAAGCTCTCAGGGTGATGATCTTCCCTCAGAGCTTCAGAAGGCTCCGTCGGGCATTCCCCATAATCCAGGTCCTTCCTGCAGTGCTGCTCCCATTCCATGAGAATGTGACACATTAATCCAACAACACAACACCACTTGTATCCAAACCATGCCCTACCCCGAGTTACTATACTTGCTTTGTTTAGCACCTGCTACATCTCAAATATTCTTTTCTTGCAAGGTGTCTACCAGTCTTAAGTCCTTTAGTTATAACCGTAGCTATCTTTAAATTACCTAAAACTACTTCTAAGGCACATGAGGACCACTTTCTGGGTGTTATTAGTGTTCTATTTCTTAATCCAGGGACTGGTTACAAAGGCCCATTCATTTTGTGACTGTGTATAGCATTGAACACTTATGATTTATGTATTTACAATACTATGTGTATGTTCTAGTTCAAGAAAAATTTTTCAAGGCTTATACTTTGGAACTTCTTGGCAATAATTAATAGATTCAGGTTGGATGAAATGAATCTCAAGGATGCAGAAAACAGGGCACTATTATAAACCCCATTCTTGCTGAGAGGAAACTACTAACTAAAAATGGCTGATTTGTCTACCAGTTTTCCCAGCAAATTCACAGGCTTGGAATTCACCACTTCAACATCTTCAACCAGAACTTTGATCAGCCAGATGTTAGGATGCAATAGCCAAGTTTTGTGATTAATAAGGATAATAAATTGCTTTTCAATTCAAGTAAGTTATCTTGAATGACATATACATTCTCACAGGGTGATGAGAATCTTTTTTCAAGATGAGTTGGAGGGTGATTTGATCACAGAAGAGTTCTGTGCTTACAGAGGTTTTGTGAATGTTTTCAAAACCTGGACCCTTTGTAGATATATACGAAGGACAGGGGAGGGCAAGAAGAGAGCAAAGAAGTCACCACTAGGATCTGGTGTGAGCAACCTGAACAACGCATGAAACCTGGGAATGGGCACTGAATATCCATCTCAGAATCCAAATCAGCACTTAAGAGGGATCAGCTCTCAGCTGCAGTTGAAAAAACCCAATATGGTTGAGGGTCATTCCTTATACACACCCAAGAGGACAAGGGGGGCTAACTTCCAGGCTTCTCCATTTCTGAGGTATTGAATATCTGCCTAAGATGTCCTATGGGGTTCAGAGTCAGTACAACCATCACAGAAAATCCTTGCAGAAAATAATCCTTGACTGGTAGGGGAAAGTGTTCTAGAAATAATATTTTGGAGTAGATAAATCTGTTTCCAAATCTACTAAATTTTAATACAATATAAAATGAAAAAAAAAACCCACTTACTATATCAAGACAACAGAGATCTAACGTTTGTTTCCAAATAGTACTTACTTCTGGCTACTGATTATCTTTCCTGATGTCTCCATTTCATACATGGTCTGTAGCCGGCATTTCACGAGCTCCGTGGGGCAAAGCACCAGCGCGGCAAAGGCAGAGGCGAAGGACCCGGCAGCTGCGTTCTGCAGATCACTGAAAGCACACAGCACAGAAGCCACCTCTGTCAGCTTACTCATTCCTTCAGCTTCCACCTCAAGGAAATGGGAACATGGGGATTAAAGTGGGATTGGCATATGCTGTTGCAGAAAGGGATCCCGTGTCCTGTGAGGTGACAGCAATACCCTAATTCCTATCTAGGGAAATGGTACTTAGAAATGATCCATAATGTGTCCAAAGTCACACAGCTACAAAGTGGCAGGAATCACACCCAGTCTGCCTGACTGCCACATCCATGCTGTTTTCATTAGGTACTGAATATGGGCTGAATACTTGTGTTCCCCTCCACCCCAAATTCCTGTGTTGAAGCCCTACGCCTCAATGTGATGGTTTTTGAAGAGGGTCCTTAAGAGGCAATTAGAGAGGTCATGAGAGTGAGGCCCTCATCATGGCATTAGTGCCCTAACAAGAAGGGACCAGAGCCTAGCGCAGTGTCACACACCTATAATCCCAGTGGCTCAGGAGGCTGAGGCAGGAGGATGGCAAGTTCCAAGTCAGCCTCAGCAATTTAGCGAGGCCCAGTCTCTAAATTAAAAAAGGGCTGAAGATGTGGCTCAGCAGTTAAGCACCCCTTGGTTCAACTCCTAGTACCAAAAAAAAAAAAAAAAAGAAGGGACCAGAGAGCTTGCTCTCTCTGCCATGTCAGAACACAGTGTGAAAGTACTATGAAGCAGGAAGTGAGCCATCACCAGACACTGAATTTGCTGGCACCTTGATCTTGGACCTTCCAGTCTCTAGAACTAGGGGAAATGTTTGTTATTTAGGCAACTCAGACTGTGGCATTTTGTTATAGTAGACCACGCTAAGGCACAGGGTGACATACAAAATAAAGCAAAAACACCTGAAGGAGAGGAGGAAAAATGACCATAGGTCCCCCACTCAAAACATGCACAACTATAGTACATTTGCCAGAAAGCCTTAAAGAAGTTCTAAGGTCTTCCTTCATGCTTATAATCCATCCTGGAACAATTGGTCATGTAATGAACTACCACAGATAAAAACCCAGTACAAATTTATAATGACAAGTTCCTGCATTCCAAAAAGATTTCCTAGTCAGCTTCCAGCCTCCTGCTTTGGTCTGAATGTGTCCCAAAGGGTTCATGTGCTAGAATCTTGCTCCCTAATGAGGTGGTGAAACCTATAAGAGGTGGGGCTAGTAGAAGGCAGTTAGGTTCTTAGGGGCACTGCCACCCTTGGAAGGGATCAATGTAGTTCTTACAGGACTCCAGTTAGTTTCCACAAGAACAAACTATTGTTATCAACAGAACAAGCCTCACTTGGGAATTTTTCTATCCTACTGTAATACCATGAAATCTCTCCCTCTTACATATACTCCCACCATGATGTGATCTGCCGTGCTGTGATATAGCTAGAAAACCCCACCAGAACCAAGCAGATGCCAGCACCATGCTCTTGAACTTCCAGAACTGTGAGCTAAACTTCTTTTCTTTATCCATTACTTGTTCTCAGGTATTCTGTTATAGGAACTGAAAATGGAATAAAACACCACCTCAGCAACACAGGCCAAGAGGAGGGGACAATGGGCCTCAGAGGTGGGTAAAGTCTGCACACTCAATGGTTTTAGGTGACATGTCTAGGTGAAAACTACAAACTAGACAAGAGAGAGCAATAAACACAAACAGAAGAATTTACTTCGTTTCATATGGGCTTAGGACCAGTAGGTCTCTAAGTTACCAGTAGGATCTTAAAACTAGAATCCAGGAAGAGTTCAAGAATAGCTAAGACCAACCACCCTCACAGAGGGTAAAAATATCTCCAAGGGGACCTACCACATTCAATGATCCTACTGTTCCATCAGAATTAAACAAAATAAAACTGAGGCCCCTCTAGACTTGTCCCTAGTGGGTGGTCTAGCCTCTATGCCACTGGCAGATGCAACGGGAGGTATCCAGGTCTCAAAATCTGGCTTGGTGTGGGCTTGCTTTCTTTCAGGAGGAAGACACTGCTTGCAGTACTGCAGTACTGGTTCCTTTTGATCTTGGAGAATTACACCAAGACCATGAACACAGCAGAGCCATCAAGGTACACAAATGTCCTACACACAACCTTTTGGTGTATACAAGCTGACCCAGGCTGTTCAGTTCACTTCTCCCTCACATCACTCCTTAATTCATTTGTTGAAAAACTAAGCTTAAAATGGATTCTGCCATCTTTTAACTACAGATCCATAATTGGCCTCACGCAGGGACTTTCTGTCAACGTGCTGACAGGCAATCGTCCAGGATCATTAACTAGAGTTTGCTAACTTTGCTGGATCAAAGGTGGCAGTCAATAAAAGTGGAAGTTGGTTCAACCTCAGGTGTGGAGATGGCTGAGACATCTGAACCAACAACAACCACCTTATTATAGTACAAGGACAAGGCCCAATCAGATTTGCAGTGAACTTTGGCTTTCTAATAAACACTCTCATCTACCAGGGCACAAAATGAAGCACATGGGCTGCAGGTTCTAAGTGTACTATAAATGTATAAAATGAAATCGAAAGGGCAACAGGCACAGGATGGGGTTTTGTAAGAATCAGCTGTCATCTCTTCAACAAAAAACATGACCTGAACACTCTTGCTGTGTAAGACCCCATCCAGCCAAAGGTCAAAGAAGAACACCACTCGGGGTCATGTTCAAACCGGGAACAGACAAATATTGACGATGTGATTGCAAAAATTCACAACGGGCTCTCACAAGCAGTTCTTTCCTTTTCACCACACTTTGATAAATCCTCTTTCTAGATGTGACCCCTATAAAACATTCCACAACCCCAACTGTGATCTACCAGAAAGAAGACTGGGCCGAAACCGGGCCGAGAGAGGCTCAGAAGACGAGACTTGAGGAAGAACTTCTAGATGACTTCAACCAACTAAATGCTACCGTACTGCATGAAATCCGCGTGCTCGGAGTGCTTCTCCACGCAAGAGACACAAAGAAGCGTCTCCCAACCCTTTCTCAGGGACACTGACTTGAGCTTCTAAAAACTGCATGGAAAAAAAAAAAAAAAACTGCATGGAAATGCAGCTCTAAGGTATCCAAGCTTCTCCATCAGAAAACATGATGCTCCTCCCAGTCTTCACTGTTCACAGGCTGAGAGAAGAGGAAGGGAAGGGATATTAAGGCCTGATCCCTTAATGGCAGAAGTCATTATCTCTGTGGCCAGAAGGGCTTGCTCTGCTCAGAGGAAGCTAAGTCCTGCCACCACCACCCACACAGGTGCTCACTGATTCCCTGGCTTCTCTCCTGTGTCATCCTTTACTAAGGAGTCTGAGGCAAACAGAATCCCAGGTCTCCTCAAGTAGAAGCCCTTCCCTCTGTGGGGAGGAAGCTACATACACTATTTTATTTTTTTGGGGTCTCCACTGTGGGGTGCTGTCCTCTCCTGGTTTGCCACCTGCTCCCGTCTACTTCCTCTTTCCTTCCTGCCCTCTGTGCTGGAGGGTTAAAGGACCAGAGCTCTGCCCTATGCCAGCTCCTGGAGTCATTTCATCCAGTCTCTAGCTCTGAAAGCACAAGCTCCTTCTATCGTGACAGAACTCCTGCTTGTAAAAGGGCACATTTGAGCCCTTGAGGTATTTTTGTGCACAAGGAACTACTTTAGTCAGGTGGGCACTGCCCCTGCAATAGGGCTTCTAGCCCCACCAACACCACCACCACGACTGCCTTCTGCAACCACGAAGCTGATACCATCATTTTAAATAGATCAGCATTCAAAGGAGGGCTAGCTAAACATCCCAGTATCTCCTGAACTGTTTGATCTCTGCATAATAAACACCCCAAGGACGACCAAGCCCAAGCCAAGATCTGATGTTTAGGGAAGACTCAGCCAAAGAAAGGTAGGCTCACCTGCATTTTCTCAGGTGTTTTTGACCCTCCCTGAAGTTCCACATTTCTCCTCAAACCCACATGGCTCAGGCAACCTCTCGCAACATGTTGCCTTTTGCTGATAAAGCACAACCTAACCTGGGGTCCCAACCTGTATGTACGGTTTGAGTCCAGCACTTCTGTCCAACTAAAAAGCATCCCCCTGAGGAGACTCAGGGCGATACAACAATGTTTTTGTGTTTATTTGTTGTTGTTGTTGTTATTTAAAAAAAAAAAAAAAAGAAGAACAAGGCATCAGTGTCCTGACTCACCTCAGCTTTGCCTGTCTGTCCAACCCAACTGCTCTCCGCACCACCTGCTGGCAGAAGCCGTAGCACATGAAGAGCACTGAGTTCTCCGCGATGTTGGCGATCAGAGCCGGGCTGGTGCCCTTGTAGAAGCCGCGGAATCCCACCTGGGAGTAGGTCTTCAGGCAGCAATCTGTGAGGCCTCTGTATAGGTCCGGGAATGTCTGCATCTTCACCTTCATTGTGTCAAAGGGCTGTCCAGTCAGTACACATGCTGTGCCCCCTGGAACCAGGACACAAGTGTTCTCTAGCACGAGTCTGTGGTTTTCTCAGCTACCCATGGAAATGAAGGCCGGCTGTCCTACCCCAGGCGTTACCTCTGTTCCTTCTGACTTCTTATCCTCCCCAAACCTTCTAGCAGAGTCCAGTAATCAACTCAGAGCAAGTCCCTACTATGTCCGGCACCCAAATCCTACCCTGAAGGGGTTCTACTCACAGGGCAGATGTGTATGTTCCACAGCCCCAGCTCCAGGCTGCAAAGGTGTGCATGTGTTTAGGTGCCTTGGCAATGGGGTCAGAAGGAAGGAGCTGGAGCCTGGCTTTGTTGTAAGGTCCCAGACAGGGGACGCGACCTCTGAGATGCCCCTACTCCATGCCTGCACCACAGGGTTAGCAGGAGGTTGAACCAAAATGGAGGAGACAGCTTAGCACAGCACTTGCTGCACAAGTGGTTAACACACAGCAGTTGCCATGAGAGAGACAGAATTCAGAGAATCACTCGTCTTTGCCTACTGCCCCACGGCACGGTCTGATGAGTATGGGAAAATAACAGGGCACCAGGCATCACATGAACAAAACAAGGAGCCTGGCTAATTAATCCCTCCAGAGCACAATATTTCATCCCAGGGAAAACCTCTTGAATTTTAACTCTACAAATTAATCATTTGTATTTAGCTAGATAGTAGACCTTAATTTATCTTTACTTGGCATAAACGAATTGAAGTTAACCTGTGCTTAGCATAAGTCCTATACTTATCCGTTTTCATATCGGAAGAATATCAGATACTCAAGGCCAAAATTGCATTTGATATAGCTTCAAATAAGAATCCTATACATAAGGAAAAGAATGAACTGTAACTTCCCTATGATATCTTCAGAACCTGGGCTGGGGTTAGTGTTGTGGCAACTGCCAGTGATTAACATTTACCACCCTTTCTGTCCTGAGAGGTCCCACATCTCAGATGCCCCTGTTTATATTAGGAAATGTCACAACCATATAATGAGGCTGCTAGAGCTTCATCAAAACTGAAAAAAGAAGGTCACATAAAATATTTAAAAACTGTGATTTCATAATCTTGACATTATACAGTTATTCCACCCAAACTGTGGAAAGTAGAGATGGGGAGGGCCACTGAGAAGGACTATTTATTGGCCAATAGACCAACAATTCCAAAGGGTCTGAGAACTGCTTGGTCTATTAAGCAACAAGAAAAGTACAATTGCTGTGGTCCTATCACTACCATTCACTTCTTCTAGGGAATGATGATACCCGTGCACTCTGTATTGCCAAATTATCCTCAGTTCTGAATTTGTAGAATAGAATTCAATATGATTTATTATAATTAATTTAGAATTATTCTCTACTAGGCACTGCTGGGCTAGACCACAATAAGATCCAAAGTACATCCAAGCAATATAATTATTCCAAAAGATGATGAAACTGTCAGAATTTTTAAGACAGTACATGCTTTAGATAACCTAGATTCAGATGAACTGCATAAAGCCTTTCTGTTGTTATTACAGTTCAGGGCAATGAAGAACCCAGTGGAGCTCTACCACTGAGCTCCATCTCCAGTGCCCCCCACCCTTTTCTTTGAAAAAGGACCTTGCCATGTTTCTGAGGGCAGCCTCAAACTTAAAATCTTCCTGCCTCATCTCCCAGCACATTAAACCTTTAATTCAGCATGTTAATACTTTAACTGGAGAGTTTCCCTATTTTTTTTTTTTTGGCTGATATCACTCCACAGCACTTTATTGTTTATATATTTTTAATGTTTATTTTTTAGTTGTAGTTGGACACACACCTTTATTTTATTTATTCATTTTTATGTGGTGCTGAGGAGTGAACCTAGGGCCCTGCATGTGCTAGGTGGGCACTCTACAGCTGAGCTACAACCCCAGCCCCTATTTATATTTTTTAATTAATTTATTTGTTCTAATTTGTTAAACATGACAGCAGAATGCATTTTGATCCATAGTACACAAATGGAGCATGATTTTTCATTTCTCTGGTTGTACACCAAGTAGTGTCTTCATACATGAACCTAGGGTAATGATGTCCATCTCATTCCACCATCTTTCCTATTCCCTGCCTCTTCCCATCCCCACCCTTCCCTTTGCCCTAACCAAAGTTCCTCCATTCTTCATATGCTGAGTTTCCCTATTTTATCAATCAGCCTGGAGGGAGCAGACATCACAGGTTACAATATGTATTTGCTGTGTATCTATGACCTTTCTAAGGAGAAGGTGGATGGCTAATATTCAAATGCTAATTCCCTCCCATGAATCCCTGGGATGTGAGCTAACTTTACCTGTAATATACCCCACATCCCAAGTCCTGCGTACCCCTCCCATGAGTGATGACTATTCAGAATGCCAGCACCGGCTGCTCAAACCCACACCTGGCAGGTTCTCAGAGACCTATCAAGTCAAGAAAGCCAGGAATGATTACAGGGAACAAATACTTCTCCACTTGTGTAGAAGTCAGACATATGATCAGGCTTTTCTCCCTGAAAAACAAGTGAAAACAGCCTCTGTATTTTTCAGGGGTGCCACAGCTGGCTGTGCACCTCATTTTGAGGACAGACATTCTTACTGGGTAGTGGTCAACATTTAGCCACAGGTCATTTAGACTGTGAGGCAGGACAGAAAAGCATAAGGCATGAAGGCAAATCTAATAGGGTGGGACAGTGTCAAGGGAAGTAACAGCTCACAGGGAAGACAGGCAGGTATACTTCACACCCCTCAACAAACAGCAGTAAAAGGCAAGGTAGCATATTGTTTTTAAGATATTCTTATCAAAAAAGGATTTTCATTTTGGCATTCAAGAGGACAAACAATCTAAAGTACTCATTCCCCAATGACACTGGTTAATAAGGTGTGCTGCCACAGAGCTGTCAGGGCTCTGGCTGCCTTATGACGTTAAAGATGTTGAACTACTGACTCTTAAAGTATCCAGATTTCCCTTTAAGGCAATTCAACTTTTGGGATCCACATTGCCTCATTTCAACAATTACCCAATTATCTAACTATCTTCTTCAAATCCCCCTAATCCTAGCTGCCTCAGGCTCTAGATCCATTCCTGGAATCTCTTCTACAACAAGTGCAGACAGGGAAATGATAACTTCTTGGCACTTTAGAGGAGATGAGCTGGATGGAAAACCTGTCTGGCAGGGGAAGCTTTAAAAGAAAAAGGAGAGACGCAAAGAACAACACGTGTATGCTCTGCCCAAATCGCCCAGGACCATAGCTGGCTCCGCACTTCCAAAGGAATCACTTCCTTGGGTGGGCTGTGGCCACGAATCACTAGGGGTTCTCTGATCCTGACAGAAAAACACCCAAAGCCCAGCAGTTTATCTGACCAGAAAGCCAGGGAGGTTAAGACTGCACAGCACCCTGACCTTCTCCAGGGCTACTGACCCATCAGGCGGCACTAAAACAGACAACACTAGACAAGGAACCAGGAAGCCGTAGTCCTGGCCCAGACTTCACACCATCCATCTGCGTAACCGTGAACAAATCTCCATCCTTCTCTGGGACTCTTCCTAGGTATACAGTGACCTTAGAGCCAATGATCTCTAAAGGGCCATCTAGCTTTATCAATAATTCAGAAGCTTTGGGGCCTTCAAAAAAGTGAGACTAGTGTTTCCCATTTGCATTCCCACTGTCTCTCAGTAGAATGCAGGTTCTTATGTCACTAATAGGTACCTCCTCTGCCCAGTCCCTGACCCACAGAACCCCTGCAAACGAGTATGTTGCCCTTGGAAGTTGCAAAACATGGAAGCTCTGCATCAGGGAGGGGTGATCCTATGTTGCTAAGCAAAGGGAGAAATGCCTATCCAGAGTCAGCAGGAACATATAGTGTCAGTATATCTAAGGGCCCAATGTATGTTAATATTGTAATTTTTACAAAACACTTCCATCAACAAATGATTTCTATACCAGGATCCAAACATAAATTACATAAAAACTGACCCAAATACCTGAATGCATATAAACAGAAAAAAGTAAGCTTTTAAATTCTACCACAATAGATCTTAGATCTTCTGTATACTGACTGAAGGACATAAAATGCCAAAAGTTAAGAATCTGTTATGTGATAAAATAATAAAATAAAATATGTGGTTCTTGTCAGTAAGACAAGAACTGTACCCAGAGTGTTCTTATGATGGTTTGAGATCAGAGGCCACAGATGGTTGCACATTCTCAGTGTCTTCCAGTGGTGCGGGAAAGAGGAGAAAGGCCAGTACCCGGGGGTGTAGGGAACTACAGCTCTCCTCCCCCAAGCATGAAAGACTGACCCAAAAGCACACAATGGGAAAGAGATCACTGTGGCAGAGCTCAGCCAGCTTCCAGGCCTGCTAGTCAACTGGAGCACACCTTATGGTCTCTAACCTCAGAGAGGTGCCCTTGCCCCAGGCACCTTATCAGTGTCTGTGAGACCGTGTCCAGACTTACTCATTAGCCTACTTTGGCCGACCTTTGGATCCTGAAAAAAATATTTAGTTCCTTTCTGGAAAAGGATTGTTTTTTTACAGTTGGACTAAGGACAGGGAGAGAAGTGGCAGCCCCTGTATATAGCCTATCTGCTGACCTGGGAAATCCCAGTGGATAACAGAACATTGGGCAACTTACCCCTCTGGCCTCCCCAGTCCGGGGAACTGTAAGCATTATGAGAGTCAGTGGGACACTTGGGAAACACAAGCATTCCAGTGCTCTTCTAACCCGAAGGTAACACAGAACTCTGGAAAACTAAATGATGACTGTGTAAACCCAATTTCACCACTTGCCTCAGGCTGAGCTATCTGCTGAGCCTGCATCTTGAAGGTGATTGTCCTAAAGACTGGCCTGCAAATGGACCCTGGCAGGCTCCAGTCTGCCCATGGGCACACCTTATATGACCAGCCCCAACAAATCTTACTACCTCTCCTTTACTCCCATGGCTTTAAGAACCAGTGGAATATCAGTCTTGTTTCTAAAGGGTGCCCTCTTTCCTTTCCCAGCACCAGTAACAGCACATGGCATTTCCCGGAAAGATGACATGGTATTATTTTTGTACTACAAAGGATTTGAAGACTACGAAACTTGAGACAGAGTCCAATGTCACTTGTATATCCTAGCTGTGTGACAGTGGGTAAGTGATTTCATCTCTGAGCTGTTTTCTAGCAGTATGTTCCTACCTTTCTTCCTGATTCAAAGTTTTAATATAAAGAATATTACTCTACTGTCTGCCATGTTCTGAAAAATATTATACTTCCATTTAATAAATTCACTCTGAGGCTAAGCATATTATTTCTAGGATGACAAAGGGAATATTTTTATACCAATTTCACTTGATCTTGCAGAGAAGGTACTTGAGGAAACAGAACATTGGTTTTTTTCTGGGATTACCTGCAGCCCCTGCTGTGAGGTCAATGGCAGCTTGGATGGCAGGATTGGATTTCATGGTGCTGCTGGGCTACGTGGAAGGCAACTCTTAGGAGCTTATGATGGGTACTGCATATCCCTGGGAAGAGGCAAGAGTTCACCATTAGCCTGGATTTTGTAGACCCCCATGGTTCTTATTTTAATTTTGCAGAACTAGGGATTGAACCCTGGGGCCCTCTATCATTAAGCTACATCCCCCAGCCCTTTTTAAAAATTCTTGGGACAGGATTTCACTAAATTTCTGAGACTGTCCTCAAACTTGCAATCCTCCCATCTCATTCTCCAGGGTCACTGGGATTATAGACATGCACCACCATGCCTGCAATCCCCCATGCTCAGACTCCTAAGGAGGGAGATTCATTGCCCTCTACTTCTAGGTTCAGAAGAAGGTTCTGTGCTGCTGGGTGCCTAGAAGGAGGCCTGGAAAGGAACACCCAGGTGGCAGAGGTTAGCTCTGTGGAGTTCCATGTCCCTGAGTGTGGATGCCTCCTCTGGCAAGGTGGCCCGTTATACCCCTAAAGCTAGAGGTCCTTACCTGTACAAGGTGAATATTAAAAATACAGTGAGGGGCTGGGGTTGTGACTCAGCAGTAGAGCACTTGCCTAGCACGTGGAAGCCCTGGGTTCAATCCTCAGCACCATAAATAAATAAATAAAACTAAATAAATGAAGGTATTGTGACCAACTATTTTATATATATATATATATATATATATATATATATATATATGGAGAGAGAGAGAAAAAAGACAATCACAGATAGTCACATGGGGCTGACATGAACATGGATCACAAGTTCTCTAAACAAAGCCCAGCATAGAGAACCAACTGCGTACTTATAACCTACCTCCTCTCCAGCACTTCTCAAAATTATTGTGCACACAATTCACCTAGGGTCTTGTTAAAAATGCAGATGCTGACTCAGTAGGCTTTAGGTGGAACCAGAGTGTCTGTGGTCACAACTAGTTCCCAGGTAAGGCTAATAATGCCTGCCCACCAAACACACTTTGAAATGCAGCATCTGGGCCACTGAATCCCAAATTTGCTTGATAAAAATCTACCTGGAAATACTTGTTAAATGTTCAAATTACCAGGCCTCTCTCCATGAAGTCTTGATTTACTATATTTGGATTGGAGCCTATAGTATTTGAAGAAACTGCAGTCTATTCTATCTTTGGATAAAAATCAACTATTGCTGAGATATGGACTTAATAAATATTAACCAGGAAATTTAAAGAGGCAGCCACTTAACATAGAAGACTAAAATAACCAATTTTGTATGGTTTTCAAACTACCTGACGTATTCATGAATAGCAGGGAACAAATTTCATTCCTCATCACATTGAGGAGCAGGTCGGTACACTGGATCAGTGTCAACAGAAGATAATGGTAACCACAAAGAAGTTTTTAAACCACTTGAAGCATTTTGCCAATGACCAAACTCCAAGAAGCTTCCTTTATTAAAAAAAAAAAAAATAACCAGCAATAAAAACGCAATAGTTAATAAAGCATTCAAGGTTGAAGTACAAGATGTGCTTCATGGTTACTGGTAGGCTTGGAGAAACAGACCATTACTAGGATAATAAAGTGGTGGCACTCCAACTTTTACTTAGAAAAGGTTATCATTCTCCTCATCTTCCACAAAGAAAAATGAGACCAAAGGAAGGCAAGGTCATCTTCAGGGTCACAGAACTAGTCAGTGACACAGACATGATTCAACTTAAAAAGGCTTGTCTTTCAGGACTATACCTACACACCAATTCCCATTCTAAAGTAGTCCAATCTGGCCAAAACAACAACACAAAACAAACAAAAAGCCCCCCAAACACCCAGCCGTATATTTCAAGGAAGAAACAAGCAACTGGGGGGCAGAGGCACAGAGCACATCCAAGGTGGCCTCTCAGATACACCTCAAGACGTTTGTCTCTTTCTGTGAGAACAATTCTTTCCTTACTTAGAAGGAAAGAAAAGCACAGCAGTTAATACTATTTTGTCAGTGAGAACTCAACTCCTGTAGGCAAGTCAAATTTAAACACATTAAATCCTACAAATAACTACTTGTAGAATTATAGAAAATAATGGTAAGTACTAACAGACGAACTCAGAAGATGTGCACAATTAATTCAGGTTATACGTGGCTATGGCTTGGAGAGGACAAAACTCGGAGGAGGCAAGACTGATCACTATGCATCAAAATTGATGAGCTTGTTGTACCACTTGGGATAGAAAAACTGAATCCCTTCAGTGTTCCAAAGCCCCTCTTTCAAACTATGACTTGGCAGACAGAAACCGCGGCGCCGGCCGTACTTCTTTCTGGTTCTTGGGGAGATTAATTTCTCGGACGGGAGGATGGATAAGGCCACATTTTCCATTAAGGAAGATGAACTGCCGCAGGATTCCAGTTTCAGGCTAACGCTGGAGGCCACCGGCCCACCCGCCACCCCAGCCCCCAAACCGGGCACAGGGCGCTGGGATGCAAACCCCGCGCGCCACTAGGGAATCGAGCAAGGCGCAGACTAGAGGATCCATTTCCAGCTTTCTCTCCCGGGTCCGAACGCTGCCCCAGCCCCACAGCCACTCCGGGGAACCTGCCAGCCTCCCATTCATCAGCGCCCCGGAGCTCCCGGCGCCCGAGCACGGGCGGCGCGCGCCCCGAGGCCAGATGACTCGACCTGGGGGCAGGCGAGGACACCGTTTTCCAGGTGGGCCCTGCGGAAAGGAGGCCCAGGAGCAGGAGAAGCTCGAAAGAGCCGCAGCCGGCCAGTCCCGGGACAGCGCGCGAGGCCCGCGGCACGTGTGCGCCGTCACCTGTCGCCCAGAAAGGTCACGTCGCCCGGGCCGGGGCCCGCCCGCGCCCCGCTCCCTCCTCCGGGCGGGCTGCGCTCACCGCCGCGTTGGCGTGGCTACGTCCTGCTCAGGCTCCGCCGCCCTCTCTGCTACCCAGGGCGGCCTAAGGCAGCCGCTTAACACTAGGGTCGGCCGCGTCCTGCCCTCCGCCCCGCCCACCCCTCCCGCCCATCCCGCGCCGCTCAGGAGCGCCCCTGGCGTCGGGAGCGCGCTGCGCCCGCCCGCCAGGTCCTCGCGCAGGGGCGGCGGAAGTCGGTGCCTGGCCACTGAGCGCTGGAGGAGCGGGAGGGCGGCTGCGCCCCGAGCCGCCTACGGGACGGACGGGCCGCGCTCGGGGCTGGACGTCAGCAGCTTCTCATCGAATACGAACGTACTGGAGTGACAGTGATGAAAAAAACAAGTTTATGCCTGATTTTTGTTTTTGTTGTTTTAATTCCCACCTGCCCTCCCGCCAAGGGAAACCATCCCCAATGACGTCCTGGAAGACGCACTGATGAAAACTGTAACTCCAAGTCAGCCTCTCTGCTCCCCTGGCTCCTAATAAGTCACAGGGCATATCTACCGTTCGTTAGCATTTTATTAAAAAGCGGAAAATCAAAGAAGTATTTAGTGGCCTACAGCAAAGAGCTAATAACGTGGCAATTTGGCAGGAACTTGGTCCAATTAAGACAGCTACTCTCAGCCACTGCCTTCCCATTGCTGTGTTTCAGCCTGCCTAAATTTATTTTCATTTTCCACACTGTTTTATTCCCTTGGTTTTCCAACTTCCAGCCTTGTTTGCTTATGGTGTTGGATTATTGCGAATTGCTTTAAATGATTCGAGGTTGATGACTGAAATATCTGACAGGACTTATTAGTAGCATTGAGTGCACAACAGAACAGACCTTCCTGGCCACAGTGAGTGCTATGAAAGTAACACAGCCTGGTAGTTGAGCACTCTGCAGCATCTGCACTTTGGAACTTGGGCTTATGGAAGACAATTAACTATAGAAACAAGCCAGACAGTTTGCCCAGAGTGACATGTAAACTAACAAGCTGGAACCTACAGCAGTCTGGCACTACCAGCTAGTCCTGGGGCTTTTACAGACTAGGAAAAGAAAACCTAGACCCAGCTCCTGTTAGAGATGAGAAAGCTCTGGACTTGGAGCCAGGATATTTGTGTCAAAGTCCCTGTATGACCTTCAGTGAGACACATAACCTTTCTTAAGGTCATCCCAGCCATGGGATAGCTGCATCACCAGCTTCCTTGAAGTCCCTGTGCTAAATGAAGCTGCTACTCCAATGGGGGATATTCACCCTTGCTAGGCCATCAGTCCCCAACCTAATGTCTTGTCTTTTCTTTCTTTCATCCCTTCCTGTCCTGTCCTACAAAAGCTGTTCCAAACTCTCTACAATCCCAAGCCATGCTTTCTACATTTCTCTTCTCCTCCACCTCTCCTTGAGACCCTCAGCCCCCATTTATTCTGTAAACTACAAAACAATCAGGATTTTGCTCAAATTATTAACCCCTAATCTGCAAAGTTACCTTTTCTGTTCAAACTGTCATCCATTTGTTCCCTGGCTGGCTTGCCAGCTGAAACCCCATGCCTAGCACAGTGGCCTGTGTACATGGGAGTCATGAAGAAACTCAGGCACAGAGAGAGGCCAACTCACTTGCCCCAAATCATACAGGACCTAAGGGAAGAGCCTGGTTGGACAAAGTTCTGTCCAGTTCCAACTCTTAGCCATCATGCTGTGCAGTGTCACCTCCCAGAAAGCTTCCTTTTCAAAGCAAGGGAGTTGCAGGGACTAGAAGTTCTTACTCTTGGAACACATCTCTTCCCATATTTTATAAAATTCTCATTGGCTTAGAATCCCTCTCAAAATTGGCTCTTTCTACTCTCTTCATTTTAACAATAGAGAAACAAATGTAAACATGGTAAAATGCTTAACATTCCCCAGGAGCTCAGAGAACTGATTAGAAAATCATTCTAGTCAACACCGAATCAAAAAAGTGCCCGTGCAAACTTTGTTCTAAAGGTAACTCCCTAGGAACCCAATGGCTTCCTGAGAATAATTTGGTTTGGTTTGGCTTGGTGTGGTTTGCAGTGCTGAGAATGGAACCCAGGGCCTTATTCATGCTAGGCAAATGCTTTACCACTGAACTATACCCCCAGCCCCTGAGAATAGAGTTTTATAGGCAAGGATTACTACTCTGAGGACACATGGGTCTAACCAATAGTATTTTAGAGATGGGTTCAAAAAGGCAGTGCAGTGTCCCTTCTACTCCAAGAAGCTGTTTGCTGAATTTGGGATTGCATAACCCAGAGATATCAGTGCAGCTGGTCCTGGATGGGTGGCAAGTGTGACGCAAGTGAAAGGACAGACACATTGGCTACATGGAAAAGTGAGCCTTTGGTAATGCAACAGAATTTCACAATGTACTGGTTAATGATATCACAAGGAGAAATAATTTCACAAAGTGTGTTACCTGAATTTGCAAATAAATCAAAAACACGTGGTGGCATGCATGGTGGTGTACGTCTATAATTCCAGTGACTTGGAAGGCTGAGGCAGGAGGATCACAAGTTCAAGGCCAGCCTTAGTAGCTTAGGGAAATGGGTTCAATCCCTAGTAATGTGCCCCCCCCCCAAAAAAAAAAATCAAAACATTTTGATCAAATGTACTTTTAGTTAATGAGGAAGAAGAAAAAATGCTTTTAATTACATAATTTCAGCTTCAATTAAATATTCTTGGTTGCTGAAACAAATTTGCTGAAAACTTCATCAAATCTTATCTGGAATGAAATGTAATTTGCATTGGAAATACATTAACATGGAATATAAATACATGGATTTGGATTGCTGCCAAATAAAAGAGATAATTTGTATTCAATGCAATTGTTCTGAGAAGGTTCTAGAGAGGGTCTTTTTACTTGTCTTTTCCTTGACAGCTTTGTAGTGGTACAGCAAAAAAGAAAGAAGGTAAGTCAATTGACATGCATATATCAAGAGCTTTATTTGTAAATTCTATATTTTTTTAAAAAGACAAAAATTTATAATAGAAAAAAATGGGAAAATGCCTATAAATAGCTAAAGTTCTTATGAATCATTAATAGGGTGAAATACTATGCCATTATTTAGAGATTATTTCCTCATATCATATGCTTTAGGGCAAGTTTGGCTATAAGGAAGAATGCCCAACTATCAGCATGTTGATTTATTCATCTATTTTTGTGGTGCTAAGGATAGAGCTCAGGGGTGCTCTACACTGAGCTACATCTCCTACACACTTTCTAATTTTATTTTGAGACAGGGTCTTCCCAAGCTGCTGAGCCTGGCCTTGAACTTGTGATCCTCCTGCCTCAACCTCCCTAGTCACCACAGCAGCCTACGAGTATATTAATTTTAAACACAAAAAGAAATCTAGAAGAGAGTCCAGGTTTGGTTGATTTAACAGCTCAACCATTTCTAAGTGAATTTCTCCCTGATTCTCTTGACTTTTCCCTCTAACTACAAAATGGCTGCCACAGTTCTGTCTACCATATCCTCACGTGCAACATTCAAGCAGGAAGGAAGCATTTTCACCTATCTCCTTTTCATCAGGAAAAAAAAAAAAAAACATGCCCCAGCAGCTCTCTGATAGAATTCCTTTGTGTATTATTGACCCAGAAGAGAATCTCATGCTCCTCCCAAAAATAAACACTGGAAGGAAAATCGAGTTGCCATGATTCGTTTAGAACAGGACCAGTTAGTAAATACTTAGGCTTTACAGGGGATAAGGTCTCTGTGGCCTCTGTTCAATGCTGCCATTGTAGAGGTATAGCAGCAGTAGACACTGTAAATGAACAACACAATGAAATATAACTCAGCATTAAAAGAGAATAAAATTATGGCATTTTCAGGTAAATAGACGGAGTTGGAGAATCATGCTATGCAAAGTAAACGCAAGTGGATGCTGATCCGTAATGGGGCGGGGCGGGTGGGGGAGTTGCATTGGAAAAATGAAGGAACTTTGGATTGGGCAAAGGGGAGGGAGGGAAGGAGAGTGGGCATGGGGGTAGGAAAGGTGGTAGATGAGAAGGACATCATTACCCTAGGTACATGTGTGACTGTACATGTGGTGCGACTACATCATGTACAACCAGGGAAATGAAAAGTTGTGCTCCATTTGTGTACAATGAAATGAAATTCATGTATAACTAATTAGAACACATTTTTAAAAATTAAATTCCTTACAGCATATTAAAAATTTGGGAAATGTTCAGAATTTAACGATTTTTAGAAAGCAGATGACACGTCAGTGTAAGGGTGGAAACAGGGGTGAACCCTTTCCTGCCTGCCCATCATAAAGGCTCATAGCTGAAAACCCCCATTTAAAAAAGGAAGGTTAATTACAGAAAAGCATAACAAATTTATTAATGTGCACAAGCCCAGGAGCTGTCCAAAATACAAACTGTAAAGAAGAGAACGGATGATGGATGCTTTAAAACCCTCTTTACCGGGGAGAGGTGGGGGCTGCAGGCACTTTCAGAGGCGGAGGAAATGATTCTTAGGGGAGAGGATGAGCCAGGAGGACACGGTGGCCAAGGACAAAGCTCCCCTGGACTCTGGGTGTGCTGTTGCATCTGCAGTCTTCCTCCGTAAGAAAGTTTGAAAACAATTGTGCTCTCT